ACTATACTAAGTAGCTTTATTATTACTATACGTTTTCTATAAGGTTATTCCTTTAAAAGGGTTTCTAATTCTAGTATTACTATAATGTGTTAGCCTTTTATTATCTATTTATAGTACACTATAAGTTACACTCGTTTCTACTCTTCTACTATATATTAGATACTAATTTATATCTCTTCTATAGACATTATACTAATAACTATAGTTCTAATACTATCTATTAGGTCTAATTAGATAGGGGATAGGACTTACGCACTACTTATAGTGTGTTTACTACTAGGTTATAGGGAAGAAGTTATCTATTTAGTTATTATACTATAAGTAGTCTAGCTTCTTATATACTAGGTAGTAGTGATAATCCTATAAGGTGCTTTGCTTAGAGGACTCTAGTTATATAATAATCCCTTTTATATTTTTATAAAGATAGAATTATTACTACCTCCTTATAGAGAGCTTAGTAGTAGCTCACTATTATATAGGTGCTTATACGCACTTAACACATATAATGTAGGGGCTCTAATAGGTGCCCTAATAGGACCCTAATAATTATACTAAGTTTAGTAAGATTAACCCTCTTAAAAAATATAGTCTCCTATAAGACTTAGTTTTATAGTCTTAAAATCTAGCCTTTAATAGTATATATATATTAGGGACTTAGATAGGGGCCTAACTATAGAGAGTATACTATAGGGTCACTTAGGGTATATAGAATCTATAAAAAGAGATAAAGTATTACTTAAAGGGATTATATATAAGAATACTACTATATAGTAGAGAACTTATAATAAACTAGTAGAGAGGGGTAGTAATAATTTAATAACTACTTTATAGGTACCTTATAGTAAGTAAATAGTTAAATAAAGTACTCTTCTTTTATAACCCTTATAATATTATATAGTTATAGAGAAGGTATAAATATAGTAGTTAGAAGATAGTAGGACCTAATACTAGCTTAGAAACATTCCTCTATCTAAAATAGTATCTACTTTAATAAGCTAGTAGGTCTATATTTCCTAAGCACTATACTTTAATAGGACTAGTAGTGAGCCTTTAGTCGTGGCACCTCTAGAAAAGGAAGTTAAGCTCACTATTTTCTAGGTTGATGACTGCATTTCTAGCCTGCCAGATAAGCACAATCACGAACGAGACGGGACCCTGAATTCTCTGTTATTTATAGTCCTATGTGCTGGTTGTTGGTTCATTACCATATATAGCCCTTCAGTCTGGAAGGCTTGCGAGGGCCGCATTCTGTAGTGTTTTATTAGCAACTAGTGGACATGAGGGCGTGAACAGACTTTCGCTTATACAAGGACGACCTATGACTAGGCAGCAGTTGAAGATGAATTGGCGTTGTTATGATCCAGATACCCGAATAATACTCTATTCAGGATGCTCTATCTATACGTCTCAACTACCTAACATTCATCATCCTCCTTCTCATTCCTGGGATCCTTGCGCGCGCAGCTCTCTTGCTTACCATTGTTGTTGTTGACGAGCACATTGGGCGACTTACGAAGGTCTCCCGTGATCTTGTCCTTGGTGCCAGTTTCTGTCAGGAAATGACGGACCTGGGTGCTCATCTTGGAGGAGACGGCCATGGCATTCAAAGCCACTGCGGCAACATGAGGCGCAGCCATTGAAGTGCCCGTCCTCCCCAGGAGCGAAAATATTGACTGTTGTTCCATAGTTGGAAGACGCCCTCACCTTCCATCTCTTGTCAATGGTTCCAACAGTTATGGCCTCATGCGCAGAGGCTGGCGAGTATGTGGAGGCATCGACATTCTCATTGCCGGAGGCGGTAACGAACAGAATACCCGCCCCGTTTTTGAAGCTTGGGGAACGACGGAGAAAAGCGCGATTGATGACCTCATTCTGGGCCCGAGAGCATTCTCCCCCGAGAGACATGTTGATGACAGCATTGTTGTGTCGCTCGTGCTTCGCAATGTCGGCGATGGCCTGCTCCATGGTCTTTATAGATATCGACTTCCGACCTTGATTCTTCGCGTCAAGGGCCCTGAGAGAGATCACTTTGGCAGACTTGGCCACGCCGTAGGTCTTGGAAGCAATGATCCCAGCAACAAGGGTGCCATGGCCATTCTGGTCCTCGAAGTCGTCCTTGCCGTCGGGAGTCTTGAAGGCTGTCCAAAGATTCTCGGTACAACCCTCAAACTCCTTGTGTGAGACTCGAACCCCTGAATCAATAACGTAGGCATAGTATGTCTTGCCGTTGGTCCAGGATTGATAGTAGTACTTGAAGTTACGAAAGATGTCCAAAGACGGAAACTTGGGTAGAGAGCGATGGGAGATGGCCCGGAGGTTCCAAGGCGCCTTGAGCTAGACTTGTGCATCTGCCGCTGCGCTCGGGGCGGCCGAAGCCAGCCCTAGAGACAAAACGAGCACCGCTGAGATTTTCATCTTGCAGGTCCGCGAGAGGTGATGAGCGACTGTGTACCGAGCTTCTTGAGTGAGTGTGTTCGAAGCTGATCAGCTTGGAGGAGGTATAACTGAACTTGGGCAGGCTGGCCGCTTTATACGAGCACTACGTAACAGGCATCGGAAGCCTTCCACGTTGAATGCTGGAAAGTATTCAAAGCATATCTTTTTGTAGAATCTAGAATTCACAGGAGCAGGTTTAGTGTCCTGAGAACGTAATGCTTCAGCTTTAGATGACGCCATCATATTCTAGGATTAACAGGAACAGGTCTAGTGTCCTGAGAACGCAACGTTTTAGATGACGCCGTCGTCCGCGTGGTGCATGATGATAATAGATTGTGCCATTTTTGACTAGAGATGACTGGTGTTTTCGCAATGCTACCTTGTGTATTACTGCATCCATCCAAAAGGAATTAGCAATTCCCGACCTACCCGAGGTAGTCCAGCATATATGACAACATGCAAATAGTACACGCTATTGGAAGCAATGCAAGAGACTTAGCTACTTATGCAGTTGCCACGATGATTGCTGCAGGTTATTCGCTACGCTATGGGAGGAGGGAAGCTAGGTTATATCTATAGCACGCTTCTAATAGCAGCGCCTCGACCGCGACGCGTCCGGCTGAAAGCATTATGAATAGGGCATCAATATATGTTGGGCTACGCATCGTATAGCACTGACTCAGGATCAGGAGCAGGATAACTAAGGTTACTAAAGTGGATCCAGAATAGCCTCCATCTGAAAGGCATAGATAGTCTGTTAGCTGCCTTCAAGCAGCTTCGAGTTCAATCCGTACTCTGACTTTACATGAGGGATGGCGTGCTTCAATTACTGTAGGACATTACCCTTCTCTTAAGATCCCTCCCCCACCCCGAAAGAGCCTGGCCGGGGGTCATGCGCATATACCAGCCTCAGCCTCGTTCGAAGAGCATCTCCATACGCTGCTTGCTAAAATGGGCCAAGATTTAAAAGGCCCTATGAACTCTTCTAGCATGAAGCTGTTCCTGGATTAGATGAATCGGGCAGCATTTACACTATTCATGGAATGAACCAAGCTTACGTGTAGCTGCGTGAGCCACGTCATGCGAGCTTGGTCAAGCGACAAAGTCAACTTAAAACAGAATACGATTTACAACCAAATTATCAAGGCTACACAACATTACTACATTACTACAACAGCTGTAAGATGCTAGTAGTCCTCGTGATTAATGTCTAAGATATATACTTAGATATCTTCTAGTTCTAACTGTTCCGCTGAGCTCTGAGCTGTATTGTCACTGACTCGTGATATGCCCGGAATCTGTGCACTAGTTAGTTAAAATATGTGTTATTGCATATTGAAAGACTGAAAAGCACATGCATTTACATGCGGCATTTAAGGAGCATCAATGTGTATATTTCCGCTCAGTAATTAATACTCAAAAATATACTTGCATCGGCTGTATATTGACTATAAAACCTGTCTCCCCAACATGCTCCATTTACTTTACCACCCTATCTACCAATAGCTCTACCAGAATACAGTTGTCTCTACTTCAAGATTTGCACTACAGACGTTTATCAGAAAAGCTATCATGAAAGCTATCTACTGGCCGCTTGCCCTCGGGCCTGCTCTGCTGCGCATGGCGGTAGCAGCGCCATCTGGATCCTCCAAGGATGGAGCGTCCGAGCCACTGGGGTAAGAAATTACTCTTTCGACTGAGCAAACTTCTTATTCTGTTGCAGATGTCTAATATGAAGCCTCTTCTATAGTCATATCGTTGTTCTTAAGCAGGAATTGGAAAGCAAGCATGTTGACCGTCATCTTGATTGGGTCAACGGAATGCACAAGGGCCTGAACAGCAGGGATGATGCGGACCAGGGTCATGGGATTGAACATACCTATCGCGCACATGACATCGACTTTCACGGCTACTCTGGTAAATTCTCTGATGAGGTGCTTGAGAAAATCAAGCGGCACGAGCATGTAAGCATAGCACTGCTCACTACTATCCGTTCGGGAGATTCTCTTTGGAAAACTAAAAACTAACCTATTCTTCTAGGTTGATTTTGTGGAAGAAGATGGGGTCCATTCCCTTGGGGAGCGACAGGCGGAAACCCCGGATGACAAGCCATCTGACGATGGAAGCAATGAACAGCCATCTGACGATGGAAACAATAAACAGCCAGGCAAAGCCAGCACTCCAACTGAAATTGTGGGAAACCAGAATCAAAACGAGGCTGTTGGTCTCCTGACCATCGGACAAGGGTAAGTAACGATTAAATCAATGTCTTGTTCGAGAAAGAAGGAGAAAATACCCTGACTCAGAATCAGGTACAATACTTTCCTGGACAAGGGAAGAATCGTCGACGCCGTTATCTGGCCTAAGAACAAGAAGAGAGCTGAAACAGACGGAGCGGCTGCTCCCGCTGGAAATGAGTCAACTCAGGTCGAGACGCTCTTCAAATGGACTCCTCCTACCACTGATATGGACGACTTAATTGACCTCGACCTGGAGGAATACTTTGAGCAGCCCAATCTCAAGGAGATTAACGATCGTGTCATTGCCGAATTAAAGGTGCTCAAGGAGGAAAGGAAGAAGCAAGAGCAGGACAAGGACAACGCGCTTGCCACTAATGAAATAGAAACTCGCGCTGAGAAGCAAAACTGTCCCGGTACTTTGAGAAAGGAGTACAAGCTCACAGAAGATTTCAGGTATGCGGTCGCAACATACATTTTGGCGAGAAATTTTCTAACATGCGCTGCAGTTCGTATCTGAAGACTCTTGACATCGGTGGCGGCGCAACTATCTCGGGTTGGGGCCAGAGTGCATCTGTGTCCGGCAACTACCTGAACCAGGCAAAGGTAAGATTTCAGAGCACACAGTCACTGCAGTAGGACACCGTGTCTAATGATCAGTTATAGTTTGCTCAAAATACCTTGACATATGTTGCGTTCCTTGATGTCGAGAAGCAAAAGACTCAGCCTGGTGGATTCCAGATTAATCAGGCAAGATACAAGGCTGGACAATTTGCCCGCGACTTTGGCGACCGGTGGATTCACGGTAAAGATTTACGCTCTTGCATTTCTACTTTTTCGGCCAACTAATGGGAAACCACGAACAGGCTTCAAGACCGGCGGCAAGATGATTGCTCGCCTCACCTTTACCTCCAAGGACGGCACCAAGACATCAGACCTAAAGGCACAGTGAGTTGCACTTTGAAATTTTCCGTTGAAGAGTACAGAATGTAAAAGCAACGCTAATATTGCTTTTCTCTAGTGCTGATGCTTCATTGGGCTTCTGGGGTGTCAAGGGAGAGTTGAGCCTAGATGTCAAAAAGGGCATGGAAGAAGTCAGCAAGCGCAGTAGTGTGGAGGTATCTTTCTTCTACGAGGGCGCTTTGGGCATTTTCATGGAGAAAGATGAAAAAGCGCCTGGGAACATTCCCTCTGGATCTGCAGAGGCGGTGCTTGGGCAGGTCAAGCAGTGGGCCGACAAGTTCCAGAGCCATGCCTGCGAGCACACCTTCGCTTACGGGTAAGTTATGGGCAGGGTTATTGTTGACGGTTGAGCGACCTGCTAACCACTTGGAAAGTCCCCTTCTTGATGAGTACGCTACAGTTCCGGGTTTCCGCGACCTAGACGCCAACATCAAGGCTCCTAATTATGACACGGCGCTCCTATATGTAAGCCGTTTGGCGCAGTTTTTTTTTTTTTTTTTTTTTTTTTTTTTTTTTTTTTTTTTTTTTTTTTTGCATCTGAACTAACATGCCATGAAAGGCTCATGAGATTCTGCGCTTAATGGTCAAGATTGAGGAGCAGAAGAATTTCCTGCTATCCGGTAAGCTCCCCACGGAAAGGCAACCAACCGTGTGTTGGTTCAACTCTCTGACTCTCGAATACAGGCAAAACCTTGGCCGAGGACAAGAAGTTTCCGGTGACGACTGACGCGATCGAGATGATCGATGCATGCAAGAAATGGGTAGGTTCACACCTCACTGTACAGGACAATTTGGAGACTATATGCTGATTATTCTAATACTAGGTTGAAAATGCCGAACTGAATCCGGAGAACGTCAAAGCCCCGGCAAATGAACTTATCAAGCTTCTTAACGACGGATTCATCAAGAAGTATAAAGCCGATGTCATTAAGGAGCAGCAGAAAAACACCCCTCAAGGCATGGCGGAGTGTAGGGACAGAAAGGTCGCGGCGATAAAGGAGTGCCTCGCGAAGGCTGGTTCGGGTAAGACTCTGGAGGACGTGTTAAATTGCAAAGATGATGGTGCAGATGCGTTCTACCGGTGCAAGAAGGGCCTTGAGTAGGTAGTTTGACTTGGAAGTAGACTAGTTATATTATTAGAGCCTTGACTACAGTAGGTAGACTTGGAAATAGACTAGTTATACTTGAAGACTTGTCATTAACCAAGGTTCATTACCAATATCATTGAGGGCTATTATCTTTGATTATAATAAGGTGTTTAGTTATAGCTGCAACGGATAATTTACTTTATAATGGCCCTAACAGACTTTAGTTACTTATACATCACTAGATTAAGAGACCTAGCTCGCTCATCAAGGTCGCAGGGGTCTTGATCATTGCACAATGCAATGGTAGAGGAACTGCTTGCCGAACGCGCGAACTCATGTCAAGGTCCGCGGACAACTAGTAGTGCAATTGGTGTTGCGATGATCCAGATGCCCGATTGCCAAGACCTCTCTCTGCCCAGTGCTATTATCAGTTTGTTTCGGGCAATTGATGGCTAGAGTTGCCTTGTTCTTTGACACCCCGAATTTCGGTATGCCTCAGTATGCATTTTTTTTTTCTCGGCTTCGATGTATTTATTGACATGGATACGTACGCGTCTACATACATCCTCCGCGGAAGCGATGATTCAGCGCCGGGGCGTCCATGGGCCGCAGGCTTGGCCGATTGGCTCACATTCATCTAACGACCCGTACCACTGATTCATCGTCCCCAGATCCTGGAGCCTGTCGAGGGACAAACGCACGGGATTGGCCACGCAACTCGGAGCCGGGCTCGGGCGGGTGGTTTACTAAGTCCGGTACACGGACAAAACGACAAGGGTATTTCAGATAGTTGGACATTATCTACTGCTTATTTCAAGCTATACGGATATTTGCATATACATATATCATCATCACACATGAAGCTCCAGTTGCCAGGTCTTGGTCATCTTTCCCCTCATGTTGGTCCAGCTCCTCCCCCGTCCACACAGCCTACACAAACACCATGGCTAGCCAATACGCAAGCTCCACGACGACACAAAACAGGGACAATGACGCCTTGGATCCCGACCTCGAGACGCAGCGGAACAAGGAAGAACCGCAAGCCGAGTCGTCACGCCTCTCTGACGTGCAGTTCCCGGTCACGGACCTCGATGCCGGCATCGTGGCCTGGGACGGCCAAGATGACCCCGAGAACCCGCAAAACTTCTCGCCGCGCAAGAAGTGGATGATCCTGGCACTCATCAGCGTCATGACCATCATCTCGCCGCTGGCCTCGAGCATGTTTGCGCCCGCGGTGGGATACATGGCGCGGGAGTTTGGCGAGACCAACGAGACGGTGACGTCTCTTTCCGTCAGCATCTACCTCATTGGCTATACGGTACCGTCTTTCTTTCTTCTTCTGCGTCGATGCAGAGCCAACTCAGCCGCGCCCCCCCTCCTCCCTCAATCCTGACTAACACGGCCCGCCGCGCCGCCCGCAGGTCGGACCTCTTTTACTCGCACCGCTCAGCGAAATCTACGGCCGTCGCGTCGTCCTCTCCGCCGGCAACTGGTTCTTCGTCGTCTGGCAGATCGGGTGCGCCCTGGCGCGGAACACGGAAACGCTCATCGTCTGCCGCCTCCTCGCCGGCATCGGCGGCTCCGCGTGCCTGACGCTCGGCGCCGGCGTCATCGCCGACCTGTTCGGCGTGCAGCAGCGCGGCCGGGCCACGGCGCTCTGGGCGATGGGCCCGCTCATCGGGCCGGTCGCGGGGCCGATCGCGGGCGGGTTCCTGGGCGAGGCGGCCGGCTGGCGATGGGTGTTTTGGCTGCTGCTGATCGCGGGCGGCGTGCTGTCGCTGGTCGTGGACCTGGTGAATCGGGAGACGTACGCGCCGGTGCTGCTCCGCAGGAAGGCCGCGGCGCTCGCCAAGGAGCTGAACCGCGGCGATTTGCGCAGCGCGCTCGAGCCTGGGGACGCCGACGTCTCCGCTGCGAGGACCATCCGCAAGGGAGTTCTCCGCCCCTTGCGGCTCCTTTCCCAGTCTGTCATTGTTCTGCTCCTCTCGGTCTACATGGTACGCTTCGCATGCCCTGCCATCCCCTCAATCCTTCCCATCTCGCTTGCGCCCATGATGCTGATGCTTGACACGACTGGTTACAGGCACTCGTGTACGGCCTCTTGTACCTCTTCTTCACCACCATCACCTCCGTCTTCACGACGCAGTACGGCTTTTCTACCGGCCTCGCCGGCCTCGCGTATCTCGGCATCGGCATGGGTTTCCTCGTCGGCCTCGTCATCATCGGCTCGACAAACGATGGAATGGTCATGAAACTCGCCGCGCGCAACGGCGGCAAGATGGAGCCCGAGATGCGTCTCCCCATGATGACCATTTTCGCGTGCATCCTGCCCATCAGCTTCTTCTGGTACGGCTGGACGGCCGACAAGCACGTCCACTGGATCGTGCCCATCATTGGCATGTTCCCCTTTGGCACCGGCATGATGGGCGTCTTCATGCCGGTCCAGACGTATGTCATTGACTGCTATCCCAAGTATGCCGCGTCGGGCAATGCCGCGCTGACTGCGACGCGGTCGCTGCTCGGGGCGCTGCTGCCGCTGGCAGGACCGGCCATGTTCAAGTCGCTGGGACTGGGCTGGGGAAACTCGCTGCTGGGCTTCCTGGCGTTGGCGTTTGTTCCGCTCCCGATTGTCTTCATCCGCTATGGAAAGGCTATCCGGGAGAGATGGCCTGTCAATCTCGATTGAGGACAAACAAGTTGAGCACGCGGTGACGGACGGCGCTGGCTGAAGGGAGTAGTCCACAGGTCTAGGCCTGCGGTGTATCAGCATACATGCTGAGTAGATGATGCTTGCTAGATAAAGTTATAGAGTATAGATTCTACATGAACACCTGCAAAAAGAGCAGGATACTGATCGACAAAGTCTCTCGTCACCATCCACCCGCGCTCGCTCATCAGCGTCTCGTAAAAGTCCTGCCGCATCACCAGGGTGTTGTCCGCCGCTCGCTCCAGCACATGCTCTCCCCACGGCCAGCGAATGCGTATGCAGCAGGCAAAAAGGCCGAAAAAGTCGCGATAATTGTCCCGGTACTGCGGCCACGCGCGTATCAGCGCGACCCTCACGCGCGACCAGGGCACCATGTTGAGCACCATCGGGTGCACAATCTCCAGCTGCTCCTTGACCGGTCGCAAGAAGGAGGGCATGCGTCGATACGTCTCCGGGCACGGGTTGCACACCCAGCGCGTGAAGAGGTAGGCGAGCCAGCCGGTGGCCAGCCGCTCCAGCTCGCGAAACGGCCGTCGGTTGCTGTTGCGGTGAATCATGTCGGCGAGCGGGTTCAGCGTGCTGCCGTAGAGGATGTCGAGGGGCGAGTGCGGCGTGTCGGGGCAGCTCTGGATGAGGGAGGCGTGCCCGAACCAGGGACAGCCGGCCAGCGTCTCGAGGTTGGAGAAGTCGTCGTCGTGCGGCGGGATGCGACTCCATGGCGGCGGCGGCGGCGACGACGACGACGACGACGATGTTGCCAAGGCGGATGCAATAGGAAGCGTCTCTGTCTCACTCCGAGGGTGAGAGCTAGTCTCGGTATGCGGAGGCGGCAGATTATTGCATCCCGCACTCCCGCCGGCGCCCGTCCGTGCCGCTGTTGATGCTGCCCGCAAGCATGCCACATGATCCTCATCTCCAAGAGGCGGTAACGTCGCCGTCCCTGTCCATCTGTCCTCTGCTGCCGTTGCCACGACCGTAATCGGATCCGGCTCGTCCCAAGACAGCACTAATGACTTGAGCAGCTCCTGCCGCTGGACAAGGGCTTTGTTCTGCTGTCGCAGCGCACTAATCTCACGCGCATACGCATCATGCGAGTTGTATGCCTGATCCTGATCCTGATCCCGGCCCTGGTGCCGCTCTTTACACCGCGCCACCAGCCCTTCCAGTTCGGTGATGCGTTTTTGCTTTCGATCGCGGAGACTTTGCTGGGACCGACGGTCCCGCGCTCTTTTCTTGTCCATGGAAGGCATAGCCTCGTCTATGGTATGAAATGTCAGGAGCATGAATCGCGACAGCGCTAGAAGCCGGCTTTCATTAACTAACTAACTAGTGGTAACTAGTTATTGGGTACCCCACGGGGACCTGGCAGGGAGGGAGGGACAAGGCTATTATTCGTATTACGAGGATTGGCCGGGGTTACCCAGATTTAAAATGAAATGCCATGTACTTTATTAAATGCTAAAGGAGAGCAAAAGGCGTCTGGTTGGAGCGTAGAGTATGTACTACCCGCCGTTGTGCTGTCGTCCAGCAGACTGTGTCAAAAGCACTCAGTCTCGTTTGTCTAGAGCATCCATTGATGCAATAATCATTCCCGGCCCTGGGTCCAGTCGGAGTTGGCAATGCTCAATGAAGTTGGCGCACGAACAGACTTTCACTTTTACGAGAGCGGCGTGTGGCAGCGCAGCCTTTGAAGAGCGTGAAGGTGAAACTTTGCATTAATTGTCCGAAATAAACGACTCTCGCTTAAAAATGAATGAAAATACAACGATGGCAAGTTTTCAGGAAAAAGTTGCACGAGTTCCTAGGCAGATGCCATGCCCCCGACCGGATGTAATTTGCAAGTGTGGTGGTATGCGCACCTAAAGAGGGATGAGTAAGTAAACACTCATCGAGACAAGGCCAACTAAGTGGAAGGCAGCAACTTACACTAGAGTCACTCTCCGCGGCATGTTTCGATGCTGGAGCTCTTGATGCCACCCATGGAGACTACTCGCTCTCGGCTTTCGGAATGGAGAAATGGAGAACTTGACACCCCATGGCGGCTGTCCGTCACGCTGGTCTCGGAGCCAGAGAACTTGGAACCCCAGGGTGGCTGTCCGTCGGGGCTGGCCTCACAGCTGGCGAGCTCGGCCGGGTCTGGAATGGCAGCAGCTCCAGCGACGGAGCAGAGACCGAGGTGAAGAGTGCAGAGGATGGCGGAGGTCATCTTGTCTGTCGTATGAGGTGGTTGCTGGCTTGATCTTTGGTATGAACTGGGTGTTACTTGTCGCTGATGATGAAGAACAACCCCGACCCTTCGGCCGGACAGGGCGCTATTTATAGGCCTTTGCATGTCGAGTATTGACAACATGATAATGGCATACTCCAATTGTCAACCTTCAACACGAGGAGAAAACGCAAACTCGGACTGAATGCTACCCGCTGAGAGAAAGCCAGACGAACTCCACAAGAACAACAGAGTGAAGTCCTCGTGCGCCACGTCCGGGGGACCCAACAATCAGCCTCGCAGGTCGACGATCATGACCAACAACTCCGCTCTATATATGGACTCTGCTGCCCACGCCCGGACGAACGATGGGCAGCCCGCTAGACAAAGACAACCCGGGGCTACGGAGCGTCGTCGAGGGACAACGGCAAGATTGGGTGTCCCATACGGAAGGGCAGACAACTCAGCCACGAAATAACTTGGAAAGGCTTACGACAGCCTGGAGTTATTGGCTGGCTGCTCTCACCGGACCCGACGAAAGTCTCACGATGGCATGTATTCATTGGCTTACCGCCTCACCGGCCCCGATGAAGGATCGAAAGCCAGGTAGCGCGCGCGCCGTAGGGTCGTCTTGGTAACTACGCCAAAGGGACAAAGCAGTCAAGGTATACGGGAAACAGAGCAGTAGAGTGCGGGTATGAATACACCATCAACATCTTCACATTAACAATGACCATCACATCTTGTATCGTCTGTTGTGGCACAGCGTGTGACGCCGTTTTTTACCACCCAACCTCGCCAGGTTTTCGGGGTAACGGGGCGAAGCCTGCTTGACAGCATTTCCATTGTTCCAGCGTGCCGAAGACCCACTTTGGCGTTCGGGGTCCATTGTCTTTACCGAGAAATGAATCATCTCATAAACTACATCAAACTCCGGCCCAGCCCAGCCAGCCGGTGCACGCGCCCGCAAAACCGTAGGGCAAAGAGGAGGAGGAGAGAATGGGATGCCTTTTTGGAGCATCCCGGCGGGCGGACGGAGCGGGCCATGGCAAAAACAAACATGCATGATACTCTTTTGTCTAAAAATGTCCTCGTCGAGAAGTGGCTTTCGGTTCCCGCGGTAGGGCGCCCAGCTGAATAGCTTCAACCTTCCATATTGGGAATTTCTGCGGGCAGAGGCAAGTGCTATTGGGCGTTTTCTTCTCTTTCTGTTCTGTTTTTTTTTTTTCTGATTTTTTTTTTGTCTTTTCTTTGGCGCCACAAGTCAGAGTTGACTTGTTCTTTGTTATCAGGCGCGGTCAAAGGAAAATCCTCTTCGGCCCAACTCGGCCGAGAAAACTGCACATCACCGGTAATTCGGTAATCTTTGACGACTGCCGAGCGCGCACTGAGGTTAATCTCTTGCTCATAGGGCGCGTATCTCAAGGTCTTGGGGCTGGACAAACGAGCTGGTTTCCAGCCACGGGCTGCTCGTCAGCCGAGAGAACTTTGGCTCCGATTGGGGTAAAGCATCATTTCAGAGCGACAGAGTCATGTAAGCATGATCATAAGTGTCTTGCACAAACCTGACCCAAGTTGTTTGTTGTCGAGTTTTTCTCAGCTTGCGCCGAGTCTCAGCCATACCTGGGGTATGACACGCCTGTTGGTCAGTTGTCTGAGGAGGAAGTGCGGCTTTCGCTGCTGCGCCCGATATATCATGATGGCAAGGTAAAAAGAAGGGAAAAGAGGAAACAAGGCAGTCTTTTTGTTGTTTGAGGTAAAGAAAATACCCCTGTCCGTAAATAGAAGCCTCGTATGACAATTCGTCCCTGCGGCCGCGCAGACAAACCCAGGAAGCTGAACGCCATCTAAGACGCAAGAAATAGAGATCAATGTCTAATTAAGTGTCTTCATAAAAGGAAACAAGACAAACTGGTTTCATAATTCTGCAAACCCGACGATCATGCGGTGAGGATGACGCCCTGTCGTCTCTCCCCACGGGCCAACAGCCCCTGTACCTGCGCCATGAATAGACACCTGTGAATGGCACTGAACAGATGCCTTCTATCCGTATCCTCCTTCAGACCCACAGACACAGACGAACGCATGTCCGACAAACCCACACTTCTACTTGCACCGAGACCTCAGCAAAAGAGCACCACCGCAGTACCCGCGACGTGTTTGTTTCCAAGGTGCAATGTTTGTACATTCGTCCTCTATGCCTGTCTCTTCAGCTCCGCATAACATCTTCGGCAATTGGAGCCCCTGTAAAAACAATTCATTCCGCAGCGCTCAGCGTCGGCAACAATGCCAGTTTCCCACAAATGTAGCCTACCGTCACGGACCTTGAAGATACATGGCGGATGCCGGGGATGATCGGCCAAGGGCTGCCGCCACTCCATCTTTCGGGGTCTTTGTAGCTAGTTGGTTAGATCGTTACAGGATAGCATCCAATTCCGCCATTACACCAACGTAACTTACCGGGCGGTCTTGGTTTCCCAAGGTTGGTGCTTTGGTGCAAGCATTTGGGGAAATATTCCCCTTGATTAGACGGATGCAACGTACGTTCGAAACGATGGATTTAGTGTCTTTGCTCTTGCAATGACTATTGTTGACTTCGGCTTCCAGCTCGCACAGGTCTCGTCTTTGCCTGTTGGCTTGAAAGCACCTTCGCCGGCGACAGCGATGTACATGTCAGGGAACGCAAGGGCAGGCGTGAATAGGCGCTTTATCGTACCACTTCAGTGCTCCTGTCGCTCTTAAGACTATTGCTGCAGCTTTAAGACGTGTTCCAAGAATACTTTTCCATTTCTTTGAGGCGTCAGGTATGATCATGGTTAGGAGCCAACACCGCGCCAACATTACCAGGCAGGCCATGGATATCATAGTAAAGCGCAACAACGTTCTACAGTCAAGATTTTAGTATCCTGAGCGTGTAATGAATATAGTCCAGACAGTTAATAAATGCGATACCTCTAAAACAGTTTTCGTCTGCCAAGCCTCGCAATTCTAAATAGCCGCGCGCTGCAACCTCTACCACGAGCGCCAACGATTTCAGTCTACACTCGGAAAATGTTAACTTGGTATACTCGTAGTCTTGAACCAAATTTCCGTGTCTTGCAAGCGGTTCTAATAACCCTTGACCAGAAGTGCATTCTAGAATTTCCAGACTGTACTTGAGTCCGGCCGGTGCTGACTGTCACGGACTGTAAGGTTTATAGTGGATTCTAGGGATATTCGGCCTTATCGGCTGCTATCGCTTGATCTTTTTAAGGTCTCTGTGGTCTAATGGTCTAACCTAGAAGCCGTCGTTACACTGACCCAGCCTGACCGAGCTATAGCGTTATACAGCCGTCTGATAGAGCAATGGTAGGTATGACAACTGTCAAAGACTCAGTAAACCAAGGCGCATAGAAACTATCAAATTATCACCAAAAAGAGCTACGTTGATATGACATCTCACAACTATTCAGTCAAGTCAGAGTGATACACTCATTCTGTCTTGGATATAAAAGGCGAGCAGCTCACGGCACATTTCAATCCTCCAACCTCGACACGTTCGATACATTCGATACGCCATTCTTCCTTCACTTTCTTCATTTTCTTCACTTCACTTTCTTCACCTTCTTTACTCTCTTCTTCACCTTCTTTACTCTCTTCACTCTTCACTCTCTTGGCCTTATTTACCTGCGGCCCATCATGAACAGTGAGGAAGAGCTGCGAAACCCTATCTTCCGTTTCTTGGACACGAAAATAGCCATTGTGTGGCCGCCTGAATTTGGTTTATCTCGGTTCGTCACTTTCGGCGATCTAGTGAGGGCGAGGTGGGCTGATGAGGCCAGGCTGGTCCAGGCCCGTCTCCCAGATCAAGACGGAACTGCCAGAGTCATGCAGATGCGAGACGATCTGGTTGCCCTGAAGCCAAGAAATGAGTCTAAAGAGGTGCTTCAAAAGGCAGCAGACATCTTGAGTGATCCAAATGCGGACGATCTCGACGTGATGTTTTCTTGGATCATGATCGGGTGGGCCACCTGGATTGGCATGCTACGTGCACGATGAGGAGACGATGCTGGCCTCTTTCAGAAGGGCCTTGGTCGCCAACAGTATAGCCTTTCAGCTCTCCAAGCACAGCAACACTCCCGAATCGCACAGAGTGGCATCTAGGCACAGGAAGCTCAGATGAGTTAATGCCTCCGACTAACAATGTCTTCGTATTCACGCAAAGACGCCAGCGAACAATAAAGAAACTCAACATTTCTTACCTATAAGGTCCATCATACGGATCTGTGGAAGTCGAGATGGAGCCATGTCGAATTCAATATGGACATAAGGTAGGAACTCTTTTGGGAACTCTTTTAGGAATTATTTTTATCAGACTCAGCTTTAGGAAATGCTCCAAGGTTTGTTTTTATTGGACTTTTTTTGGACTTTTTTTCTTTAGTGCGATTAAGAAGCACTTTTAAATCTTAACTTTTAAAATGCCAAACTGCCTTTATTACCTTGTTGATACGAACGCCGCCTTGACCTTGGAGGTTATGGGTAAAGGAGTTCTCTATTATGCAAGTTGTGTGGACCGTAGCCTGTCAGGGTTAAGTAATTTGTGTGTACATAGCAAGTACTCGGTATGTACATACCAAGGTATTACTGTCTACGATGATAGGCGAGTGTAAAGGGGAGGACAGGCGCTTACACAGCCGTTATAGGTATGACAACTATCGGAGCGCATACCCACCGTTTGAGCGCTTTTGTCTCTTTATACAATTACTCTATTAGATTCACTAGCCTCTACAACATGTTTCTGCCTGTCTCTCTACTACTCTGCGACTGCCCTCACGCGTCCGGACTGCCTCAGCATCGAAAGTGGGCTTCCTGACGGATGACACTTCCCCTACAGAATCGAATGAAAGAATCAGAATTGCGTCTTCAAGTATAATAACAACAGTAACACTACGACTTCAATTTCCACAGCACCCAGTTTACATCAGCTAGAAACTGATGGATGTTGTGTGGCGTAATATAGCTGTTGGACCTGTAGTCGTCCTCCATCCACCTTTGTTTCGCCGGTGGAGAATCCCCCTCTTGGTCCTCCCAGAATTCGGAGTTATTCATGGCTGGCCCCTGCTTATAGTCGTCGCGGGTCGACCGCGATCTCTTAGACGGATCACCCGCCGGCCGCATAGCTGTTTGGATTAGTGTACGCCCCAAGCTAGGCGTAATGGGGAGGTCGGTCCTTCCACTAAAGGGCGTCCCGCCGCTCGAGGTGTTGATAAGGCTCCTACCGGAACTGCTCATCCGGCTCGTGTCAGGTGAAGCAGCATTCAAATTCGGCCTTGCCGCGGCCATGTTCTCTATGCAGCACATGTTTTAGTGGTGCCGCAGGGCGTTGCGGTCTACTGTCGGGGACACTTGCGCTTTTCGGCCATGGTAGGGTTCTAGGGCTTGGTATGGCACAAAGACGCGGATCAGTAACGCCTGCGGGTGGATTGAGAAGAGGCGAGTGTCGAAAAAGTCGTGAATATGCTTCATCAACAGGATGCCGTTGTCAGAGCTCCATGTATTGAGCCATGCCTCGCGCAGGCGACGGGGACTGTTTTCGATCGCCCTGTCAGCGTGAGAAGCCGACATGGCGTTGTTTATGACAGGATAGAGATGATAGTGTTGCTGCGGTACAATGTGGCAGGCTTGCAAGCCAGGACCGATGGGTTGCCCGGGACACCACGGCACTCCGTCACCAGAGACGGCGCAGCAGGTGGCCCGATTTATACAGGCCATTCTGAACTCGGTTATGACCCTCCTGGCTTCGTCCATGTCAATGTCCATGCTCGCCGGAGCGACCATGTTGTCGTATTCGCCGTCGGCATCGTCGGCAGGTTTCTCAGGAGAGGTGGTGCCAGATACGGTCCGTTTCGAGGGAGATCTCGAGCGGGGCTTTATCTTTCGTCTCAGTGGCATAATATTAAGCCTTGAGTCGGATGGCGACTTATTGTGCGGCAAATAGGCGTGATGGCGACGGTGGCCGGGGTTTAGAAGTTGTTGGGCACATTTTGCTGTTACGTTATAATGTAAGCATAGGGAGGTCATTATATAGCCTCTAAATAGAAAGACGACAACCTCGAAGATGGTCTTTCAATGAAGATCTGGCTGGCTAGCGGCAATTATTGTTGTGCTGAACGATATGGTACGTGACAGTTCTTCGTTGCTGAGGACTGGTTGACGGTACACCAGGCACAATTTCATCTAGGTTCTCTCCGGCTATCCAGGAAGGATACTCAATAGGATCTGCTCCGTTTTCTTCGTCGGGCTTTTCGGTCAGGGCAAAGGCGATGTTCTCCCATGACTGTACACCATCCGTGTCTTATTGTCCCTCTCGTCTCTGCGGTCTGTTACTTTCACTATCGTTGTTGTCATTGCTGTCGTTATTGTCGTTATTTCCGTTGTTGTCGTTGTTGTCATCATCATGATCATTATCAGCATTATCAGCATTTCTTTGCTGGTCGTTGCTTGAAGTCTTGAATTCAAAGCACAAGGCCAGCTCGGAGCGCGCGTCGGTGAAGGTAACGGTCGGTTTGCGCGGGTTCTGGTACAGGCCGGCAAAGGCGCGAGGGTACCTGTCTGACCGATAGTAAAAGGATACATTCCAGCCAACGGCGCGCATCGACGCCGTCACGGCTGCCGCCATGTTTTCGTTGGCCAGGCCGATGCAGACCCAGGAGAGCTTAAAATGCGTGAGCATCAAGATACAAGATACAACAGCATAGATCGACTTAAAATGGGTGATGACTAAGCTGGCAATGATAAGTAAGGTGTACTTTGTCAGCCACTCGGTTTAGCGGATTTCTCATGTACCCACTACAAGAACCCACCGCCAACGCCATCTTGTGCTGCGCCTAGCTTCATCAGTTCATTCAATTATCACCAGGAGCCTCCGTTTGTGCCTTGCTTGGCCTCCCCATAACCACATCTGCCACCAAACATCGGCAGAGCCCATCATTCTCCCGAACCACCTCCACGATTCTCGATTTCTCGTCCAGAACCTGATGGTTCCGCAGGCGCTTCTTCAGTAGCTCCCCTTCCGCGCAGGGCACAATGGACAACTCAATCATGCCATCCTCGCCGCGGCATGCCCGCCCACCAACGAGATCCGACAATCCATCCGCCGCCAACACCAACAACGATGGCGTCCCCTCCATTTGTCGAATCTGTCGATCGGAAGCGACCGAAACTGAGCCGCTCTTCTACCCCTGCAAATGCAGTGGCAGCATCAAATTCGTCCACCAAGATTGCCTCATGGAGTGGCTATCCCACTCCCAGAAGAAGTACTGCGAGCTTTGCAAAACATCTTTTCGGTTTACAAAACTATACTCCCCGGATATGCCCCAGACGTTGCCCGTCCACATATTCCTCGAGCACATGGCCAAATATCTATTCCGCAACCTGGTCGTTTGGTTTCGCGCCCTCCTGGCCATCGGGGTTTGGATATGCTTCCTGCCGCTCTCCATGCGCGCTGTCTGGTCCTTTATGTTTTGGATCAGTGACGAAGGCCTGGGAGGCTCGATCTCGTCCCTCAGAGGTGGACAGGCTTCCTGGGAAGCATCCTTGTACAACCAATTTTTCGGCCAATGCCCCGCGAATCCGCTTCTTGACGCGGCTACTACAACCTTGGCCCAAGCCGCCACAATGATGAAGAATCTTCCCGGAGATCTTAGTGGTATTCCCAAGTTCGCCGTCAAGTCCGTGGGGTACGCTGCAAACACCATCAACGGCACGGGCTCCTTCCGATCGTTTAGGGACGAGAACGGCACCATTACGATTATATACGAGATTGACTCCCCGTCAGCTTCCCTGCTCAGCAACGTCACGTTTCTTCGCAATTTGACGCAGAGCCCTAGAGTGAACAGGACAATCATGTCCATCATCGAAGGTCAAATCATCACTATTCTCGTCGTCATCTGCTTCATTTTAATCATCCTGGTGCGAGACTACGTCGTCCAACAGCAACCAGAGCTGAACATGCGTGCCGCCTTTGCTAACCAAGAAGAGGCCGCTCAAGGAGATGCATTTGATGCTGATCCTGACCAGCCGGTCAGAGATGCTGGTGAAAATGCTGCTGGGTTCAATCTTGACAATGATCTTGTCCAACCTCATCCTCCCCTTCCTATGCCGCAAGAAGTGCCTCCTAGCAGTATCTTCGAACGTCCGCCTGTGCCTCTGGAGGTTGAGCAGGAGGCCGTCAATAAGGTCTGGGCCTTGACCCAACGCCCCGGTGGCCACCTGGGAGACGAGGAGGAAACGTTGCAGATCATGGAGTACCTTGGCATATATCGACGTGCTCGCGGCGATTATGGAGAAGTTATTCGGATCATTGAGCGGGAAAATACAGACGGCAGACTTCTCCACTGGGCCGACGCTACTCGTCAAGCTATGATTAACAATATCCAAGAAGAGTCCTCAACCCCCGAGAATAACTTCGCCAACTCGCGAGACATTTTTGAACGCCCCGATACCCCAGAGCCATCCTCGAGTCACTATCACGAGAGCATCGAGAGCTCAGATCGTTTCTTGAATGGCGATGACGAGAGGCTCACCCACGAGACTGCTTACCCTGCCTCGCCATTCTTCCAACAAGATGTCGGGGCCACAAGCTCCAACTTTGGGACTGGATTGCGACCCCGAGCTGCGTCAGCCGGACCTAGCCATGCAAGCTCGAGACATCCGTTGGCGGATAACAACTGGTCGTTTGAAGGGCTGCAAGCCGACGAGCAAGAATCCTCTCACAGCCGGCATGATGCCCCGGATGTGTCCGCCTCAACGCATGCGGACGGGTCCTACCACAACCCATTGCCAGAAGGATTTCCAGTAGACGCTTATCCGAATTTCCCAAATCAGCCATTGCAAGGACCAGCAGTTGAAACAGACCAAGGTGGTGACTTTGAACGCGAGCCTGAAGCGGCTGTCCAAACACTTCCGGCTGACACTGCGGCTCTTCCCCAAGGCGCCGCCGCCCCTATCAACAACGATGAGCCAATTGGATTCGTCGATAGAGTGGCCAACCTCATGTGGGGTGGCCTCGATCACCATGCTGACGAGCTAGAAATTCAAGCCGCCGAAGCGCAGGATGACGATGAGGATGCCTGGGTTGATGTTGTCGACGACGATTTCGGTGCAGACGATGCTCAGCCTGCCGGGGAAGACCCAATACAAGGTGCCGATGGCTTCGATCAAGAAGCCATTGATGAGATGGAAGATTTCGAAGGCGTCATGGAATTGATTGGCATGCGAGGCCCTATCGCCGGGTTGTTTCAAAACGCCGTCTTTTGCTCTGTCCTTGTCTCCGTGACCATTTTCGCCTGCATATTCGTCCCCTACAACATTGGCCGCGTCACAGTCTGGCTCCTAGCCAGCCCCATGCGTCTCGTGCGCATGATTGTGGAAATTTCGAAGCTCATCCAGGATGCCCTCGTCATGGCTTGCGCTTTTCTGTCCTGGTGCTTGATCAATTTGGTAGAGATGGGACTCTTCTCCATGTCAGGCGATGTCGGAAGCAGATTGGTCTCAACCCGAAAAACATGTTGGGCCCTTTGGATCAATGCCGGGGCCAGGATTTTCGATTATTTATTCATGGATTTCCCAATGTCGGCAACAGAGATTCAGAACTTTTCCGCCATCAGCCATGTTGCTCTATTGAACCTCAAAGCCCAAGCATTTCACTCTTTTGGAGTCGTCCAACAGCTTGGCTGGACAGCTTACACAAGCGGTGTTAAAATGTCACTTGCTGAACAACTCGGCCTACTTGCGACAAAAGCCCAAGCTGCCCTGCAATTCGTCATTGCGTCCTCTTCGCTCCTGTTGACCCCTGATGCTTGGGTGATCAACCTGGGAGAATCAAAGGTTGTTGAAGTTGCCGATCCTGAACTTGCGCGCTGGTCCGGAGGAGATCGATTCTGGGCCATCCTGGCTGGGTATATGGCCGTCTTTTCCATGGCTGCCATGTATCTTCAGCGCAACAGCCCGTTCTCGAGTGGCGAATTCATGAGAGCTTGGGAAGCAGGTGTCATTGATACCCTTCAGCAAGCCAGCGGTATAATGAAGGTGATTTTAATCATCAGCATAGAAATGCTAGTCTTCCCTCTGTATTGTGGGATGCTGCTTGACCTGGCTCTTCTCCCGCTTTTCGGGGATGCGACTGTCCTATCACGACTTGTGTTCACGCGCGACTATCCTGCCACCTCAGTGTTTGTCCACTGGTTCGTCGGTACCGGCTACATGTTTCACTTTGCCCTCTTTGTCTCGATGTGCCGCAAGATTATGCGGCCAGGCGTTTTATACTTTATCCGCGACCCCGACGACCCAGAGTTCCACCCCGTGCGCGATGTACTGGAAAGAAACCTGATTACCCAACTTAGGAAGATTCTATTCTCGGCGTTCGTTTACGGGGCACTTGTCATTGTCTGTCTTGGCGGGGTAGTCTGGGGACTCTCCTGGGCATTGCCAACGGTGCTGCCAATTCACTACTTGTCCAATGAACCGGTGCTAGAGTTTCCCGTTGATCTTCTCTTTTACAACTTCTTAATGCCGCTGGCTATCAAATTCTTCAAGCCCGGTGACGGCATTCACGCCATGTACACCTGGTGGTTCCGCCGATGCGCGAGAGCCCTTCGTTTAACGTCGTTCCTGTTTGGTACTCGCAAGATTGACGAGGAGGGCAGCTTACGGCTGCCAGGGTCGGCTGGGACTGGGCGACTGCAAAGCTTGTTTGTGCGACTCGGGGACTCAGACACGACGAGTACTGGCTCATGGAGAGATGCCCTCGTGGGTGACGTTGGAGTCGATGATCCAAATGTACCGCTGGGCGGCCGCAAAGAGCACCTGGTCCGGTCTAGGCTGCTGGTGGAAGATGGCAAATTTGTTCGTGCGCCGGCATCGGATCGCGTCAAAATCGCCAAGGGTCGTAAGGTGTTCCTTGCGGTCAATGAGGACAACAAGCGACAGGACGGGAAGAAAGACGATGACTTATACGCCTCGGATCAGTACCGCAAGGTGTACGTGCCGCCCAGCTTCAAGTCGCGCATCTTCTGCTTTATTCTCTTCATCTGGATCTTTGCAGCTGTTACTGGTGTCGGTCTTACGATAGTCCCACTGGTGATTGGGCGGGCGATTTTCAAGATGCTTATTCCCGACTATGTGCGTACCAACGACATTTATGCCTTCAGTATCGGCATTTACGTTGTCGGGGCAGTAAGCTACCTGGGCATCCGCAGCCGCCGCGTGTTGGACAAGGTACCGGGCTGGATAGCGAGCACAAGGCAAGAAATGGCGGCTGGGCGACTAGCAAGCCGCACGTTGTCGACGTGCGGGCGGGCGGCTCAGCTTGTCTATACCTATTTTTTCCTTGGCATTGTCTTGCCACTACTTATTGCAGTGCTGATAGAGCTCTATATCGCGATTCCGCTACACACGTACATGAACCCTCCGACGGCAGCCACGATTGAAGCGGACCAGGCTGTGAACTCGAGTCAAGGCAGACATACGGTCCGTCTGACACAGTCGTGGACGCTTGGTCTGCTCTTTATGAAATTGGGCTCGCAAACGATTACGACCCTGTTTCCGACGAGTCGAGCGGCTGTGGCGGTGCGAAGTGTGCTGCGACGAGGATGGCAGCGTCCGGATGTGGGTGTGTTTACGCGGGCGTTTGTGATTCCCGGGCTGGCGATTGCTCTGGTGGCGATATTCGCGCCGCCGCTGTTGGCAAGATCTCTGGTACACTACCAATTCATGGGGTACATGCCGAAGGCGGGCGGGAATAGGGAGGAAATGGCGAAACTGGCGATATTCTACCGGTTCTCGTACCCCGGTGCGGCGGTGCTGCTGGTGGCGGTGAAGAATGGAATGATGCTCGCCAGCGTGTTCAACAAATGGACATCGGGGGTGCGAGACGAAGCTTATCTAATCGGAGAGCGACTGCACAATTTCGGGGCGGCGACTGCGGGAACGCGCAAGGGCCGGGCGACGTGGAGAGCGGGAGGCAACCGATTGTAAAGTAGCTTATTCGCTGGGTGGCAGAAACGACAGCGCCAAAGACAGCGATTTTAAGGGCGGATAGAAGCGTTTCTTTTGACGTATAATGTACATTACGTTGCATGATGCAGAATATATCACGAGAATCATTATCACTGGAGTGGATTAGGATGAAAGTGCAGAGACTGTCATGCGCACAGCAAGAATGAAGACTAAGAGACTGACGGGTCTGCCCAGACCGATTGATGAATGCAGGAGCGAAATGAGATTGTACAACGGGGCGGTCGATGGGCAGTATCTTCGCCGCAAATCTGCAGTGTGAGAGGTTTCAAGACGAGGTTAAGCCACACTTAGCTTCCTAGTGGAAAGGGATCGCTGGCAAGATATTGCCTAAAAGAGCTATGTGGAAAGCCTGTTGGTCGTGAGTAATCAGCGTATTGTCGCTACCCTGGAGTAGCTCGGCTGTGGGACTGCGATTTACAGTGCATGGAAGTAACGACAGAGTGATTACAAATAAATGCAGGGTGACCTTTTGAAGATCACGTGAAGGTAAGGGGAGAATGACCGCTTTTGATGCGAGTCACAGGGTAACTGTTACCTCGAATCTGACTGGTATTGTGATAGCTGACTCTGGAGGGTCGCAAGTTGCAAGTACGGGGTGGAACAGTCTTCTAAAAAGAGCAAAAAAGGCACTATGCTTCGGAAAGTTAAAAATACCATCGCACCTAGGCAACCGGGAATTTGAAGTTTTCGCATTAATTTCACCACTTGGGCATCATGACTTTCATTCGGGGGCGGAAATTGAAAGGTGACGAAATCGCTGGCAAGTTAACCTGGAGCATGACAATTTTTGGTGGGGGATTCTGCTTGGGGAGTCACTGGATGCTGCGGTTGCCCATGGTTTCAGGATGAAAGGGGCGAGCTAAACCTGAAATAGAAGAGAGCCCCTCTGGTAGGCGTGGGGCCCTGGGACCTGCTGGGACATGCCGCTGGAGTTTCGGGTGAGGCCTGTCGATTTAAGGGACTGTTGGCTGTGATGCGTCGTGATGAAGCATTATTTTGCTGCGACGAGTTCATGGAAAAATGCTGTACTAAGATTTCCAAGTTGAATCCATACCGTTTAACTTAACTCACAGTGCATGGTAGGTTTGTTCCTGGATACATGGTGGCGTTGTTGAGATTCTCCCAGCCACAACCAGCCACACCTCCAGTTGGGCTGCAAAACATGACTGGCCCAAAAGTCACAAGCCAAAACACCATGCGCCACACCCCATCCTTGGGCGCGCATCCCGGCCACCTCCCTTTGGCTTCCTTTCATGTTTCTCCCATCAACGGGGCCTCGCACGATTCCACTCCCAAGTTCAAGGTAAGAAGAAAGAACCGCCTGGGCTTTTCGACAGCCCTTTCGATAGGCCGTTCCTCGACAATTCTTCAAATACTCCTACGCCATTTTTCAACACACTGCCAACATTACCTCGTTCCTCGGCTTCTCCTCACCGCCGTTCCCCCACCAGTACCTCCCAGTACTGGAAGAACCCTGGAAGCCACGACAACCACTTTACGCCTCCCCCTGACGACGAACGACGATATCCGGAAACGACGCGCGCCTTGACTGAACCCTTTAACGACTAGTCTTTCTTCCATACTTGTTTCTAATATTTCTTCTTTCGTCGCGTTTGAATCTCGTTTTCTTCTCGCTCGACTCTCACCTTCCGCCCGTTCGCACTCTATCTGTTACAAACCTACCAACCGCCACGCTTGTCGCACCCTTGCCGTCCCCTTTCGACACCTTGACCACCTCATCGAAAGAAACTGGAAAAAGAAGAAAAATAAGCCTTTGCGACGCCGGTATTCATGCTCCCCGCGGCGCAACCGTCATCATAGCTGCGACCGCCAACAGCAGCCGTGCAAACCTAACATGGAGCCGCCCTCGTCGCCGCCCAGCGAGGCCGCCTCCGTCGAAGACGCGCTCTCCTGGTACAAGTCCCAGTATGTGCAGCTCGAGGTTGAGCTCGCCGAGTTTCGCGAGTCCAGCCGCGAGCTCGAGCAGGAGCTGGAAAAGGACATTGAGAGAGCAGAGAAGCAGGAGAGACTCTTCCAGGAAAAGGCAGAGGCTCTTGGATTCGAGGTCGAAGAGTGGAAGGTAAGTCGCCCCCACGCAAACTCTATTTCATCTGGTGCTAATGGCTGTAGCGTAAATACAAGGAATCCAAGACCGAGGCCGCATCAGCGCAAAATGCCCTGGAAAAGGAAATCACCGTCCTCCGCGACGCGAACCGCACCCTGCAGATGAAGCTGCGCGATTCCGAGGTGGCCAACGACGACTTTGAGCGCCAGGCGCGCAACACTACCTCGTCACTCGAAGACATGGAGTCCAAGTTCAACCAGGCCATTGAGCGCGGCGTCATCATGGATGAGGAGATGAAGCAGGGCGAGCAGGAGCGTGAGAAGCTGCGCATCGAGTCACAGCGTCTGCGCGAGGAGCTAGCTGACCTCAAAATCGAGGCCGAGCTCATGCAGGACAAGCTCAAGAAGCACGAAGACCGCCAGCACCACCTCTCCATCATTTCCACCGACATGTCCGCCCTCGGCTCGCCCACCTTTGATCGCCACGCGGAAATGTCGCCCAACTCAACCGCCAGCTCGCCCCTCATCACCACGCCGCCGCCCACCGATAAGCCCCTATCATCGGCCGTGTCATCGGCAGGCACCGTCTCTGACATCAACGAGCCGCCCTCACCACCCATGTCTGAGGCGTCCAACACCTTGCCCAAAGCCGCGTTGGCGAAGACACCGATCCGCCCACTGCACCGCAAACCTAGCCGGCTCCCCTCACTGGATCAGAGTGTCACGCCTAAGCCCCGCGCCAAGTCCACCAACACCCGCGTGGCTCCCCCTCGCCTCTCTGGCGCCGGCGCTGCCGGTTCCAGCTACCGGACGCCCGCCAACAACCGCTCGACCAACTCTCGCACGGCTTCCCACAAATTGCCGGCCTCCAACTCGCTTTCTCACATTCGTACCCTCACGGAAAAGATGCAGCGACTGGAAGCACGCGTGCACAATGTGCGGTCGAAGCTCCCTGGGCCGGCTAGCAGCCCGCCTCGTGCTTCGCCTCGCTCTGCTAAGCTCGGCAACGTTCCGTCGTCGGTAACGCTTCGATCGCGCAAGCGCACCGCCGGATCGGCCACTTCTTCCATCACTGGAGATGAGACTACATCCACCAGCTTTCGAACGTCAGTCTCGTCACGACAAGGCCACGTGCCGAGACTCAGTGCCTCCAACACCAACCGCCTATCGTTTGGCCCGCTGCCGAACCGGGCGCCCGATGCAGACAGCAGCCGGCCTAGTTCGCGGGCGAGCATGTCATCATACGCGCGACCGCCTTCACGAACAGACATGGCGCCGCCGAGACCTATGTCGCGCACGTCGACTCGCACGCCCCTCACTCGGCCCCGGTCGTCTATGTCTCTTCACGGCCATTCGCACTCAACCAGCACGCATTATCTTGACCCTAATATTGAGGAGGAACAAGAAGGCAGCCTGCAAACACCGAGCCGCCGTGGAACCTATGGCAAAATGGATTTCAGCAGCAGCATGAGCGGGATCCCAGCGCCGGGCGGCTCGTCGATCCCGACACCGGGTGGTCGCAGGCAAAGCGCCAGCCGCCGCGCAAGCGCTGGCGTGGGCCGCGAGCCTGCTATTCCCAGGCGGCCCAGCACGGCGGGGGGCCACAAGTTGGCTGAATTGGCTGACGCGGGCGACCTAGGCGAGACGTATTAATAACGGACGAGGTTATTGAGCGATGGCATGATGATGGATATATTCCTTGGCTGTACTATGGAAGCGAGCATTTGCATTTCTGGGCTTGTTTTTATTTTATAGGACGGCATGTTTCCCCCGCAATGTTTATATATGTCTAAGAAGGACAGAATGTCTAAGAAAGGACAGCTGGGGATTGTGTTTATGTCTTTTTTTTAACGAATTATGGAAACACTGCTTTTTTTTTTTTTTTTTGAAATGAGGCAGCGAGTAGTCAATACCCTGTATCTGGAGGACGCGAGAAGAGGAGGGACTAGGGGGTAGATGGTGGGTGGGTGTTTTGTTGTAAATGAATGGAAGGATGGGGATTGTGAACTTGTAGCTTTAAATGACGACGGTATAGAGTAGCATATTTGGTGGCGTGAACAATATATCGATACGACTACGTTGATGTCAAGCCAGTGTGTGATTGACGTGATGTGATGTGATGTGACTTGTAGTCATGGAGGAACGCCGGGGACGGGCTACAGCGTAAGGTTGGCGGGATACCATGTTGAAAGGGATATGAAGAGCGAGCGAGGTCGAAAGCGAAAAGGAAGTAGTGAAGGAGAGGAAGGTGAGGTGAGAGCTAGAAGGGGTGAGATTGAGGGACCCTGGCGCGCCACGAGGAGGTCTGGCCTGCATGCTGTGGAGAAAGCGGCATTGGAAGAGGACGAAGCGTAGAGTATGACTGGATAGGATGTTGCCGAATCGCAGTTCAATAGAAGAAGGACAAGAAAGAAGGGGGCATACTAAGGAAGTGGGAGCGCGACACGAGGTTGAAAGAGAAGACAAATGGGAGTGAGTAGGATGCGCGGTGGAAAGGTCAGAGAAGGGCTGCTTTTGCCAGATGGGAGACTTGCTGGTAGTTGGGAAAGGCGCGCGGAAGACGAGGCTGTCAGCGGAAGTGGTGACCGGCGGCGGCGGCGGCGGAGAAGGCGGACGAGGAGATCCGGACCCGGTTGCCGTTTCGGGCAACCTCGGCGGCCGGCCTATGGGGATTGGGTTGGAAACCGTGGGAGCAGATTTGTAGTTTGGAGAGTTTGACGCTAAGTATTAATTGCTGGCTATTGTTCAATGCCTGTGTCCTCCAGCAGAATTTCCTCCGGGTATGGAATGTGTTTTGCCTGTTTCGCAGTTGTTTCTCGGGATACCTGATTCCTCGGGTGGTTTCTCAGGTTTGCTGGGGCGTGGTTGAGGGAGCCGGCACGTACAAATGCTGGCACCGTCATTGATTGTATACGGGAAATGCGATTTTCTACTGTAACTAGTTATAATTCCAGCCAACGAGGATGGGCCTTTTTCTTTGTCGAGAGCCACCTCTGAGCATCGGGTCCAGCCGTGTAAGACGGGAAAGAGAATGGCCGGGGTGCTTTTTAATGACATGCAGGAGAAGTGAACCCGGCCGAATGCGGATTAGAGAGGGGGTGTTGATTTCATCATTTTGGGGGTGTGCAATTAACACACATTGGATCTTGTTGGAGCTGAGCTAAGGTCAGCAAATAGACGGGGAGGGTCAGTGTCAGCCGCAGCAAGGACGGGGAAGATGGATCAGGATGGTTGAAAAAGGGGGGGAATTTGGACCTTCAAGGAAATGTGATTTGATTTGATTTGATTTCTTCTGTTTTCTATAATTGGGCACTGGCTGGGAAACACACATCTCGGCGTGGGCATGTTGGGGGAGGAAGAGAATCGGAGAGCCGGGAGGGTGGGGCTCCGGGCGGGTGCGGGACTCAACAATTGGGAAAGAAAAAAAAACGAGAGACCAAGACAGGACCAAGGGATGAGTGGACGATGGGAGAAATTACATTATCCGCACTGGCCAGCTAAGCCTATTCGGAAGTCCTGGTGAAAAAAGGTTCAAATGTGGAAAGTCGTGGAAGCAGGTAATTACCAAGGTGCCGTTGCTGTCTGGCTGGGGAATAGATGTGAGCCAGAGTACTGGGTCGAGATGGGCCTTGATGATGTCCTCTAATATTCTGTCGCAACACTCCATAACTGCGTTGCTGTTGGGTGTTCACTCTTGTCGTCATGGCAGTAGATACTGTTGATGAATCTGCAGATTGTTATCAGCAGACTGATCTACGTCTTGGCCATGTTGGGATTCATCAAAAGAAATACCAGGCAGGACGTGCTGTGCCTTGCTTGACCCAAGTTTGGATGCCATACCGCCGCCGCCACCACATCAGCACCAAGGTTCTCATGTATAAGCACCCCAGTCGTTTACTGTGAGGCTACCTACCCAGCAGCCAGCCTCCCGAGACCACCGTGGCCCGGCTTACCTGCAGCTGTTCGCTAGCTCTAATCCCAATTAGAAGCTTTGCAGTTGCTATGTTCAACATGTAGCTCGGCTGCGTCTTATCCCTCCGTTTCTTACCTGCCGGATACCCGTTGAGCACGCAGAGAGCCTGGGGCGTGTGTTTAGTCATTCTGACACTGTACATAATCCCCAGAGCGCCGACGTTTGTCTCTCTGCGCCCTTTCTTCCCTTCTACTTTTTTTTGCCTACTCTCGCCTCTCTCATTCTAGACACTTTGCATCATCCGTCGTCTTCTTTTTTGTACCCTTCCTCGAAGCGATCATTTCGATATCCAGCCGCCCCACGACGACACGGACGACGGTACAACGACGGTAAGTGCTGCTGTGCAAAAAAAGTCGCTGGGAATACCGTCTGGGCTCTCTCTTCTCTCTCTCTGTCGCTCTCCTGTCTCTCTTGTTCGACTTTTGATATACAAGGGACGGCGAAATGCACTGGCTTCGGTATCTGTTGTCGGACGGAACCTTGTCGAGAGGCGTCAGTGCTTATCGGCGCTAGAAGGAACCATGGCTTTTCTGGATCCGCCGACAGAATGCGCCGCAACCCGAGGAGCAAATTGGAGCTGGGAGGTGGTGGTCCTCAGCAATCTGGGTTTCTGTTGCTGCGCTTTTTGACGTGGAGCAAGCGAGGACAGCCAGGCAACGACGAAAACTGCTACGTTACCGGTGACTTGCGGGTTCGGGCTGTGAGGAGGAGCTATGACGGAACGGCAGAGCCCTCCCCTCAGTGTGGACGAGTCGTCTTACGTGGGTTAGGGGAAACTCCGTCAGGTTAGCTGGCTGGCGGCGATCCAGGCAAGGAGCTGGAGCTGAGGCAAGCGACCGTGCGGTACGGGTTGCTGACGTTTACGAGCCTGGTTTGCGGGAGGCCCAATGCGGCATGGACGCGATTGCGACAGCGGAAAATCCAAGTGCAAATGCAAAAGCAAACGCGGAGAGATGGAGATTTCAATGCCGAGAGACAGACAGAGACGAAGGGGAGAGAGAGACAGAGAGATGAAGATGGAAAACTTGCAGCGCTCCACCTGCAAAAGTGTCCCAACCAGGATTGGCAACGGCTTGCTTGACACTGACTTGGAAAACCCCAACAGATCAGAACAAGGGCCATCCATCATTCCGCCCATCCCATCCTTTTGGCCTGCCGCTAAGCGTCATTGGGCGAGCGACCCCTTTCGGTTTCTCCAAGTACCGTTTTTATGATTACAGGTAGGTCAAGTACCTGAAAAGGCCTCTACAGCACCTCGCCAGCGACCTTGACCAGCACACACCCACCCTGCGAAGGTCGTCCCCTCCAAACCCCAGACACCCAACCCCTCTGGCTCTGGCTCTGGCTTATTGGCCGCCCGCTGCTTGACCCTCATCGTCCCCCGACAAAACTGCCTCCAGTGAAGCGACCTCCGAAAAAAAAGCTCCGCGACCTTACTTTCCCGAGCCTCTCTTCTTCTTCCTCCTCCCTCCTCCTCCCTCCCAAAACTTACTCTCATCATCCATCCTCCTCTCAAACGGCGGCTTTCCCTTCATAACGCCCCTACTTATGCTCTTTTATTTCTAATTCCTCCCGAGCATCTGCATTGGGCTCCTCTGCATTCTACGCTCCTGTATATTGACCACCTCTCCGCCAGCCTAGCTTTTCCTCCTCGCCCTCCCGCCTCACCAAGCGACAGATTGTTTGCTTCTCGTCCGCGCAACCTCGACACAAATCGCGCGCCCGATCCTCTTCCAACCGTCCTTCTCGACCTCGTTTAGGCGTTGCCGCTGCAATTGTTTCATGAAGCCCTGAGCAAGCTTCCTGACCCTGTTTCGCATCCAACAACTACCCGACTCTCGGACGCAATCCGCCCTTTCTTCTCCCACCACGATACACACACACATACACATCTCCCACCATGGCTCCCGAGTCCACAAACGGCGCCAACGGCCACGCGTCATACGCTGAGAAGCATAGCATTGCTCCTCACTTCATCGGCGGCAACCGTCTGGCCAATGCCCCCGCGAGCAAGGTCAAGGACTTTGTAGCCGAACATGACGGCCACACTGTCATCACAAACGTAAGCTCCAACTCTTCTCTCTGCTGACCCTGATTGCCACCACTGCCCTGCTCTGGCTCTCTCTTGATTGCCTGCGTTCAGCATGACGAGCATCATGACTAGCCCCCCCCCTTCTACCCGCAAACCGCTAACGGCCCCTAGGTCCTCATCGCCAACAACGGTATCGCCGCCGTCAAGGAGATCCGATCCGTCCGAAAATGGGCTTACGAAGTGTTCGGCGACGAGCGCGCCATCCACTTCACCGTCATGGCCACCCCCGAGGATTTACAAGCCAACGCTGACTACATTCGCATGGCTGACCACTATGTCGAAGTCCCCGGAGGCACCAACAACCACAACTACGCCAACGTCGAGCTCATTGTCGACATTGCCGAGCGCATGAACGTTCATGCTGTTTGGGCTGGATGGTACGTCACCGACAGGATGAGCACACGCATCTTGCCCAACGCACTCAACTCTGTACAAACAACCTTACTAACACGATTTAGGGGCCATGCTTCCGAGAACCCCAAGCTTCCCGAGTCTCTGGCCGCTTCCCCCAAGAAGATTGTCTTCATTGGACCCCCCGGCTCTGCCATGCGCTCCCTGGGTGACAAGATTTCCTCCACAATCGTCGCCCAGCACGCCTCCGTACCCTGTATTCCCTGGTCCGGTACCGGCGTTGACCAGGTCGAGGTCGACAACAAGGGCATCGTCACCGTCTCCGACGACGTCTACGCCAAGGGCTGCGTCACCTCCTGGCAAGAAGGTCTGCAAAAGGCCAAGGAGATTGGCTTCCCTATCATGGTCAAGGCGTCCGAGGGCGGTGGCGGCAAGGGTATCCGAAAGGTCACCAATGAGGAGGAGTTTGAGTCTCTATACAAGGCCGCCGCCAGCGAGATTCCCGGCTCGCCAATCTTCATCATGAAGCTCGCCGGCAACGCCAGACACTTGGAGGTCCAGCTTCTCGCCGATCAGTACGGCAACAACATCTCCCTCTTTGGCCGTGATTGCTCCGTCCAGCGTCGCCACCAAAAGATTATCGAGGAGGCTCCAGTCACCATTGCCAACCCCAGCACCTTCAAGGCCATGGAGAACGCCGCTGTCCGTCTCGGAAAGCTCGTCGGCTACGTCTCCGCCGGTACCGTCGAGTACCTTTACTCTCACGCCGACGACAAGTTCTACTTCCTCGAGCTCAACCCCCGTCTCCAGGTCGAGCATCCCACCACCGAAATGGTTACCGGTGTCAACCTGCCCGCCGCCCAGCTCCAGATTGCCATGGGTCTGCCCCTCCACAGAATCCGTGATATTCGTCTGCTCTACGGCGTCGACACCAAGGCCACCACCGAGATCGACTTCAACTTTGAGAACGAAGGTGCCGGCGAGATTCAGCGTCGTCCTAAGCCCCGCGGCCACACCACTGCCTGCCGAATCACCTCTGAGGATCCCGGTGAGGGCTTCAAGCCTTCCAATGGTGTGCTGCACGACCTGAACTTCCGCTCCTCCTCCAACGTCTGGGGTTACTTCTCCGTCGGTACCCAGGGTGGTATCCACTCCTTCTCCGACTCTCAGTTCGGTCACATCTTCGCCTACGGTGAGAACCGAGCCGCCTCGAGAAAACACATGGTTGTCGCCCTGAAGGAGCTGAGCATTCGCGGTGACTTCAGAACCACCGTCGAGTACCTCATCAAGCTGCTTGAGACCGAGGACTTTGAGGACAACACAATCTCCACCGGCTGGCTCGACGAGCTCATCTCCAAACGCCTGACTGCTGAGCGTCCCGACACCATGCTCGCCGTCATCTGTGGTGCCACCACCAAGGCTCACATTGCCTCGGAGGCTTGCATGGCCGAGTACCGCGCCGGTCTCGAAAAGGGTCAGGTTCCCTCCAAGGACATTCTGCGCACCGTCTTCAACATCGACTTCATCTACGAAGGCTTCCGCTACAAGTTTACTGCTACCCGCTCCAGTGTGGACAGCTACAACTTGTTCATCAACGGTTCCAAGTGCTCTGTCGGTGTCCGTGCTCTCTCCGACGGTGGCCTGCTGATTCTGCTCGACGGTCACTCCCACAACGTTTACTGGAAGGAGGAAGTTGGTGCCACTCGTATGTCCGTCGACAGCAAGACTTGTCTGCTTGAGCAGGAAAACGACCCTACACAGCTGCGTACTCCCAGTCCTGGTAAGCTTGTCAAGTACACCGTCGAGAACGGTGCCCACCTCAAGGCTGGCGCCACTTACGCCGAGGTCGAGGTCATGAAGATGTACATGCCCCTGGTTGCTCAGGAGGACGGTATTGTCCAGCTCATGAAGCAGCCCGGTGCCACGCTCGAGGCTGGTGACATTCTCGGAATATTAGCCCTCGATGACCCCAGCCGCGTTAAGCAGGCCCAGAGCTTCGTCGACAAGCTGCCCCTCTATGGTGAGCCCGTTGTTCTTGGTGCCAAGCCTGCTCAGCGCTTCCAGCTCCTCCACAACATCATCAACAACATTCTGCTCGGTTATGACAACTCGGTCGTCATGCAGGCCACCCTCAAGGAGCTCATTGAGGTCCTTCGCAACCCCGAGCTGCCCTACAGCGAGTGGAACGCCCAGTTCTCTGCTCTGCACTCCAGAATGCCCCAGAAGCTGGACGCGCAGTTTGGTCAGATTGTTGAGCGTGCCAAGACCCGCAACACCGAGTTCCCTGCCCGCCCTCTGCAAAAGGCCTTTGCCAAGTTCATTGAGGAGAATGTTGCCGCTGCTGATGCCGACCTGCTCCGCAGCACCCTGGCTCCCTTGACGCACATTTTGGAGATTTATGCCGACGGCCAGAAGGTTCGCGAGCTCAACCTCATCTGTGGTCTGCTCGAGTCCTTCTGCGATATTGAGGGTCTCTTCCGCGGCAGCGGCCAGGAGGAGAACGTCATTCTTCAGCTTCGTGAACAGAACAAGGAGAACATCAACAAGGTCGTCCACACTGCTCTCTCTCACAGCCGTGTCAGCGCCAAGTCGTCGCTCATCCTCGCCATCCTCGACGAGTACCGCCCCAACAAGCCCAATGTCGGCAATGTTGGCAAGTACCTGCGCGATACCCTTCGCAAGCTTACTGAGCTTACCTCGCGCACTACTTCCAAGGTCTCCCTGAAGGCTCGTGAGATTATGATCCAGTGCGCTCTGCCTTCTCTCGAGGAGCGTACCTCGCAGATGGAGCACATTCTCCGCTCCTCTGTCATCGAGTCTCGCTACGGCGAGAGCGGTTGGGACCACCGTGAGCCTAACCTTGATGTCATCAAGGAGGTTGTCGACTCCAAGTACACCGTCTTTGACGTGCTAACCCTGTTCTTCGGTAACGAGGACCCCTGGGTGTCGGTTGCTTCGCTCGAAGTTTACATTCGCCGCGCGTACCGTGCCTACATCCTCAACAAGGTCAACTACCACTCTGATGAAAGCGACAACCCCCAGTTCATCTCGTGGGACTTCAAGCTGCGCAAGCTTGGTGAGGCTGAGTTTGGCCTCCCTATTCAGTCTGCCGCTCCTTCTGCCCCGGGCACTCCTCTCGGCAACGAACTTGGTACTAAGCGCATCTACTCCATCAGTGATATGTCGTACCTTGATGCCAAGATCAGCGATGAGCCTAACCGCATCGGTGTCATTGTTCCTTGCAAGTACATTGATGAGGCCGATGACCTTCTCCAAAAGGCCCTTGAGACCATTGCCTACCAGCACAAGCAGAGCCGCCAGACCACAGCTTCTGGCCTTATTGCTGACCTCAGCGGCAAGCGCAAGCCTGCTCAACCTAGTACTCCCCGTGGCTCTTCGGATGACCTCAGCGCCGTCATCAACATTGCTGTCCGTGATGCCGAGAGCCAGGACGACGAGGAGACCCTTGCCCGCATCCGGCCCATTGTTGCTCAGTTCAAGGATGAGCTCCTTGCCCGTGGTGTGCGCCGCCTGACCTTCATCTGCGGCCACAGCGACGGCTCGTACCCCGGCTACTACACGTTCCGCGGACCTCTCTACGAGGAAGACGACAGCATCCGTCACAGCGAGCCTGCTCTTGCGTTCCAGCTTGAGCTTGCTCGTCTGTCCAAGTTCAACATCAAGCCCGTCTTCACCGAGAACAAGAACATCCACGTGTACCAGGGTGTCGGCAAGGCCGCCGATTCGGACAAGCGCTACTTCACTCGTGCTGTCATTCGTCCTGGTCGTCTCCGTGACGAGATTCCGACGGCCGAGTACCTCATCTCCGAGGCGGATCGCGTTGTCAATGACATTTTCGACGCTCTTGAGATCATTGGCAGCAACAACACGGACATGAACCACATCTTCATGAACTTTAGCCCCGTGTTCCAGCTTTCTCCCTCGGAGGTTGAGCACAGCCTCCAGGGCTTCCTTGACCGCTTCGGTGCCCGTGGCTGGAGGCTGCGTGTTTCCAACGTCGAGATTCGCATCATCTGCACTGACCCCAAGACTGGCCTGCCCTACCCTCTGCGTATCGGCATCACCAACACCTCTGGTTACGTCGTTGATGTCGACTTGTACGCTGAGCGCAAGTCGGAGAAGGGCGAATGGGTCTTCCACAGCATTGGCGGCACCAAGGAGAAGGGTCCTATGCATCTCCTGCCTGTCAACACCCCGTATGCCACCAAGAACTGGGACCAGCCCAAGCGTTACAAGGCCCATCTCATGGGTACTCAGTACGTCTACGACTTCCCCGAGCTCTTCCGCCAGGCCATCCAGAACAGCTGGGTCAAGGCCGTTAAGAGCCAGCCTGGTCTGGCTGCCCACCAGCCTAAGACTGGAGACTGCATTTCCTTCACCGAGCTGGTTCTGGATGACAAGGACAACCTGGACGAGGTGAACCGTGAGCCCGGCACCAACAAGTGCGGTATGGTTGGTTGGCTCATCCGCGCTCGTACTCCCGAGTACCCCAACGGCCGTCGCTTCATTGTCGTTGCCAACGACATCACTTACATGATTGGTTCATTCGGTCCCAAGGAAGATAACTTCTTCCACAAGTGTACCGAGCTGGCTCGCAAGCTTGGCATTCCTCGCATCTACCTGTCGGCCAACTCCGGTGCTCGTCTCGGCCTCGCCAACGAGCTGATGCCTCACTTCAAGGTCGCCTGGAACGACGTGACCAAGCAGGACAAGGGTTTCCGTTACCTGTACCTCGACCAGGCTGGCAAGGACCGCTTCAAGAACGATGTCATCACCGAGGAGATTTCCGAGGCAGGTGAGAAGCGCCACCGCATCGTCACCATTGTTGGCCAAGAGGATGGCCTCGGTGTTGAGTGTCTGCGTGGCTCTGGCCTGATTGCCGGCGCCACCAGCCGTGCTTACAACGACATCTTCACCGTGACCCTGGTTACCTGCCGTTCCGTCGGTATTGGTGCCTACCTCGTCCGTCTTGGTCAGCGTGCTGTCCAGGTCGAGGGCCAGCCGATCATCCTGACTGGTGCTCCTGCCCTGAACAACCTGCTTGGTCGCGAGGTCTACACGTCCAACCTGCAGCTTGGTGGCACTCAGATCATGTACCGCAACGGTGTCTCTCACATGACTGCCAACGACGATTTTGAGGGTGTTTCGCGGATTGTTGAGTGGATGTCCTACGTCCCCGAGAAGCGCAACGCTCCCATCCCTGTCAGCCCCAGCACCGACGGCTGGGACCGTGATGTCATTTACTGCCCTCCCCAGAAGCAGCCGTACGATGTCCGCTGGATGATTGCCGGTAAGCAGGACGAGACTGGTTTCCAGAGCGGTCTCTTCGACAAGGACTCGTTTGTTGAGACCCTGGGAGGCTGGGCCCGCACGGTTGTCGTCGGCCGTGCCCGTCTTGGCGGCATCCCCATGGGTGTCATTGCTGTCGAGACTCGTAGTGTCGAGAACACTACGCCCGCTGACCCCGCCAACCCTGACTCGATCGAGCAGGTCAGCAACGAGGCTGGTGGTGTGTGGTACCCCAACTCTGCGTTCAAGACTGCGCAGGCCATCAACGACTTCAACAATGGTGAGCAGCTGCCACTGATGATTCTCGCCAACTGGCGTGGTTTCTCTGGTGGTCAGCGTGACATGTACAACGAGGTACTCAAGTACGGTTCGTTCATCGTCGACGCCCTCGTCAAGTACGAGCAGCCCATCTTTGTTTACATTCCTCCTCACGGCGAGCTTCGTGGTGGTTCTTGGGTCGTTGTTGATCCCACCATCAACCCCACTGTGATGGAGATGTACGCCGACGAGGAGGCCCGCGGTGGTGTGCTGGAGCCCGAGGGTATCATTGGCATCAAGTACCGCAAGGACAAGCAGCTTGAGACGATGGCGCGCATGGACGAGACGTACGCGCAGCTGAAGAAGAACCTGGCGGATGCCAACACCTCCAAGGAGGAGGCGGAGGAGATTAAGAACAAGATGGCCGCACGCGAGCGCCAGCTGCTCCCTGTGTACTCGCAGATTGCCATCCAGTTTGCCGATCTCCACGACCGCGCGGGCCGCATGAAGGCCAAGGGCACGATCCGGGAGGTGCTGGAGTGGTCCAACGCTCGCCGGTTCTTCTACTGGCGCGTGCGCCGCCGCCTCAGCGAAGAGTACATGCTGCGCCACATGTCGAGCAGCACGCTGACGGCGAGCCAGAAGGAGTCGGTCGCCAAGGCCAACGCGGCGCGCGAGCGCAACCTGGAGCTCCTCAAGAGCTGGTCGGGCATCGCGTCGTGGGACAAGGATGACCAGGCGGTTGCGGAGTGGTACGAGAAGGAGCGCCGGACGATTGGCGAGAAGGTCGAGGCGCTCAAGGCGGAGAAGCTGTCGGGCGAGCTGGCCGAGGTGGTGCGCCGCAACAAGGAGGCGGGCTTCAAGGGGATTCGGGAGGTTCTCCGGGTCATGCCTCTGGAGGAGCGTGATGTGATCTTGAAGTTCCTGAAGGAGTAATTGCGATTGCAATAGGGGGAAGCACAGGAATATATATAGATAATGATTGTTAGACGGCGGATTGTACGTTTTTTTTTGTTTGTATGGCTACGCATTAATGTTATCGATTTCTTAGCACTGCATCTGAAAGTGTGACTTGTAAAGGGTGATGAGGATGCCGCTTGTGTGTGGGCAGATTATTGTACATTTATGTAGTTATTTAACGTTATAGGTATATCCATCTCCTATCCCAAATCTCGTACAAGGTGTCAACTGTTGTATCCATCCGCCTGTCCCGTATCTTGTATATGCTTTTGAAATGTCTCATACCGATTCGTATTGCTTTCCACCTTTTTTCGTCCTCATCCGATCTCTTCTCCTCACGACTGCTGCGGCTTCTCCGGCACGCTCGTGCGGATCTGGACGCCGTGCCAGGTGCGCACCAGCTCGCCCAGCGCGGCGTTGACCATGCGCTGCTGGCGCAGCACCGACTGTCCGCGGAAGGCCTCGGCGGCGATGTCGATGGCGTACATGCTGCCGCAGCCGCCGGAGACGTCCTGGACGAGCAGGGCGGAGGGCGAGAGGGCGTCGACGAGGAGTCGCGCGATGGCGGCCTCGGCGTCGGTCATGCTGGGCGTTTCGGCCTCGGCGGCGGCGGGCGTGGAGGAGGAGTAGAGGCGGAGGAGGCGTGGTGGTGGTGGTGAGGATCGGAGGACGGGGGAGGAGGAGAGGTGGTGCGGACGGGCGGTGGTGATGGGGCGCGCGAGGAGACGCAGGGGAGCGCGGGCGCGGGCGCGGGCGGCGCGACGGCAGGCGGTGCAGAGGAGTGATGGCTGCATCCTGGGTGGTTGTGTGTGCGAGACCGGATTGAGGGTCGATGACGGAGATGGATGCACAACTCTGGTGATGCTGGGCTGGATGGAGAGCAATTTCGGCGCGGCCGCGGATTTGCCGGCGCCGGCCGAGGGAACGAGAGAGAGAGGAAATACAGTGGGTCGGCTTAGCAATGTGGTAAAGGGAATTGGCTGGGAGTGATGGGAAGAGTGTTGGTTTTTTCAACATTCCCTGTTCTTTTTTTTTTCTTTTTTCTTTATAAATGATAATTCTAGCTCATTTGGAAATGATTTTAGAGTTGCCATAGTATTGATTTTTTATCTGTGCCGTTGTGGCCGTGCTAATTGGAAATCAGGAGGGCAGTTGGCAGCAGTCGATGGCCTTTAGTATTGTCATCATGTGCTTTTCCCTTCTCCCCTCCTTCTCTTTCATAGACTACGTATCTTTTTTTAAAAAAGAAAGGATTTTATTCTCTTCCCTAAATCTTTTTCCTTGACCCCATTTTTTTGGTTCTTTGACATTTTTGTGCTATTCCCGTCGAATGTCCGTCGTTTTCCCGTTCCATAGCCAGTTCTCAGAGCTTCAATTACATCGTGACAGGAGAATATCGTTTATACAATTAGAAATAAAAATATAAATAAAGTTGTTTTGCAACCGTAATGCCATGTTCGGTTATCGGATGTCTTAAGGGCATTATCGTGTGTGCCGCACCGTAGCGGCCAATTGAGGGCTAATTTACGTATTCGAAAATTGAATACGTTAGTAATCACTGTGGAAAATGACTGATTGATCTTGTTCACAATCTGGCCAAGAAAAGCGAAATGCCCAACAATCGCACCTTCCTCTGTTGAACAATATTGGCAGCCCTTGGTCCACCATCCTGGCCCCTCAAGGCCCCCAAAGCCCCCAGGAACCTTTTCACCACCCGCATAATCATGGTCATTGGCAATGCGAATTGGTCACCTTGGCGCCTGACATCCCCAGCTGACCGCTGTCACCTTCTCGATTAAGCCACTCATCAAATTCTACGGCCCAGCGGAATCCGGAGAACGGACAGCCCTGCGATATCAGGCACCGGGGCGCTGTTATAGGAGGGCGGAGAAGTAACGCAGCAAACGAGCACGCACCGTCGGCCCCCCAGTTCCAAAGAGGAAGCTGCTTTAAGCACGACGGTGGGAACACGGCGGCACGAATGCAACGCAACAGGCAAAAGTGATCATCGCTGTCTCTTTTTACGCTTAATCTAGTCGCTCGCCTCGAGACCAGCTGTTTGCCTTGTTCACCCCCGTATTTGTTGCAACTCTGGAAGATGCCGAGTGGTTTGTGTGGAGTTTGCGCGTTGCTCGTTTGCGATGGTATTGCTGATCGCAAAAAAGCAGCAGGCGAAACACGATACAGGTTCGATGCGATCGCGAGAAACATCCATGGGCCGACAATGAATGCGGAGCCTGCAGGGCCTTGCTGCCAAGACTGCTTAGCAGGAACCTTTGTGTAGCGGTCTCGCTCTCGTGGCGCAGCGCAGCGCAATGCAAGCAAGCAAGCAAGCGAGCAGGCCCCTCCCCCAGCGCAAGGAGCCGGGTCCGTCCACACGCACGCACGAGGCCGGAGATGATGGCTGTACGTAACACCTTGGGCCCTTGGGATCGCTGTCCGGGATGGGAGCAGTGCAGGTGCCCAGCCGGCTTGTTGAGCAGATAACAAATCTTGTGCGGGGGGATATGACCCGACGCGGGACATTACGATTCATGCGTACGGATGCGCAAGGTGCGAGGCTTCGATGCGCAAGTTACGAGCGGTTGAAAGTTTACGCAAGTCGACCATCTACTATTCACAAGTCTCTCTTGCAGCGAATACAACTTGCACGGCAGCAAGCGGATGGCAGCACAACACACACAAAAATGACACACTTTTGACATGATCCCAACGAGGCGGCGCCACAAGCCAATCTCACCTCCCCTCGACACCCTCCACAATCGACCAGCCCATTGCGGATGTGGCGCAACAGAAGTGCTCTCCCGCCGGGGCCGCCGCCCCTAGGCTAGCCAAGGTGTAATTGTATCCGTACCTGCCTCTACTTTGCTGGTCAAGTCTGCCCTCGCATCTTCGGACATTGGCCGCCGGCGTTCCGCGTCTCGTTGCCGACGGCCCACGGATGACGGACACAGGTGACTGCTATCCAGCTCGCTGCAGAAACCAAACGCAGAAGCAATGTTGCATGGCCGTGGCGTCGACAGTGCAGGGCTGCTGTCACAGACCGCGACAATGTCTTACTTGTCAAACGCACCAGCATAACACTACCGACAGCATAGCACCACCGACTGCTATACGGATACGTTGTATGGATACAACTTACCTACAAGCTCTGAGGTCTGCCAAGAGGCTGGATAGGCCCGACCGAGTCCTCGAGCAAAGAAGATACACTCTCACTCTACGTTAGACTTGGCACAAAGCTAGCAATTCTGGCCCATTCCGACGCGAACCACTTGACCAATTATCCGACCACCAGCTGCCGGACCTACCCAAACCAGCCAAGCGGGTGTCTTCCAGTCCCCGCCCTACGTGCGGCCCAGGTCCCAGGAACACAGAACTCTAGATCCAAATTGGAGAAGCCTCAGCGCTAGAATCCGTGGTAGCGTTTGTGGTACTTCTCATCGATCTGTCATTGATGAAGAAGAAAGCTGCGGCTGAGACGAGGCAACATGTTCCATGCTGGCTTCGGCGAGAGGCAGCCCTGACTCGACCTTGTCTCTCCACCGCAACGCTAATCGCTGATGGCAAGCTGACAATGCAGTGCGCACTGATTCTGGGGCTTGGGCTTTGCTCCCACTTCCAATAACCAGGCAAGGTTGGGACGGGACACCCCACCGACTGCTCGATGGAGTATTCGGTACACTTTTATTATCAATGTAGCCAAGCCGTGACAATGCGATTGACATTGACTCTATGCCGTGATCGTTCCGCGGATTTGGGGGCCCATGCTGATTCCCACACGGTTCCCATGCCACGTCAAAACATGCCGCCGCCTCGCGCTGTCTCTCCCTTCATGCCTTGTCACCCTGCGACACGCACAATAGTTGCGACCTGCAAGGCTCCGTCAGATCGCTATTCACAGCAGCATCTACCCCGCAACTTAATGCAACACTGATAATCAATACAACAACAAGACCTGGTTCAAACAACTTCAACAACCGCTACGGGCCTGGCTGCCCTGTCCCCCTGCAATCTCTTTTAGCCTCGTTGGCGACTCCCAATACCCATCACCAATGCCAATACTGCTAGCGACGCCAGCTTTCCGAATGGGGTAGGTCGGTGCAAGATAGCGCACAAACTAATTTCAAGCTGGCGCCATCGGCGGAGAGACAAAGGGGTCATACAGTACCGAAAAACCCTCTAGGGGAATAGACCTGGATGGCGAGCTGTTGCTGCCCATTACAGCGTCCTCGTACCATGCCCTACGCGCCACATACCGCACGCCACCAGGAGGGAGGCCATGGACTACTGGTAGCTTGGCTCTGCCTCCAAACGCAATCTGGCGACCTGCCCAGACGGGATGTGTCTGCGCCTGCATGGCGCCGCCCCAGTGGATAATGAGGGGAGGACCAGGGCAGCATGCACATTGCAGCTTGCACCTTGCATCCTGTCCTCTCCCCCTGCTCTCGTCTACTGTTGGAGCAAAAGGAAAAGACGGGAAGCAAGCTGATGAAGGCGGGGACGCCATGACCGGCCGGCCTGCTCCGCGATAACGTACAGATTGGTGCCAATGGTAAGTATATAGCTGGCCGTGCGCCGCCTCGGTTCCGGCTCACCACCCACCGAGGCCCTTCGTTCTCTCGTTCCCTCCAGATCGACTTGGCGACGAGGTTCTGCCCTTCTTTTTGATTTATTTTCTTTTTCTGTAATCACAGGCTTGCTTGCAGCTTCCCGCAGCCGCAGCCATGGTCAGGACATCTTCGCTCCTGTCGCTCCTGGCCACAGCCGCCACGACGGTTGTTGGCCAGGCCGATCCTAAGCCCGCCACACCACCCGCCATTCCCGGTGCCTACATCATTGAGTTCGAGGACGGCCACGTAAGTTGATCGCTGAATGTGCGCCGAGATGGAGCATGGATGCTGATGCAAGCGCGCAGAACACCCAGGCTGCCATCGACACCGTCAAGCAGGACGCCACCGTCCGTCTCAACCTCAACTACGACCTGTTCCAGGGCGTCTCCATCCAGCTCAACGATGTCAAGACGGCCGAGGAAAAGGCCAAGAAGCTCGCCGATCTACCCGAGGTCAAGAACATTTGGCCCGTCACCGTCGTTCCCCGTCCCGATCCCATCATTGAATGGGTCGCGACCGAAGGCCTGCAGGTGCTCGGCGACAAGTCCGCCTCGGTAGGCGGCCTCGGCGCCCGCGACACCGCCGATCCCATCAGCACTGCGCAACGCATGGGCCAGATTGAAAAGATGCGTGCCAAGGGCTACAAGGGTCGCGGCATCAAGATTGCCGTTGTCGACAGTGGTGTAAGTTGCAGACCGCCAGCCGACGACTTGGCTTGTTGGTCATACGAGGTCGCTGATAAGGAGGGTCGCTAACATGATGGTAGATCGACTACAAGCATCCCGCTCTCGGTGGATGCTTTGGAGAGGGCTGCCTTGTCACCCACGGCTACGATCTCGTCGGCAACGACTACGGCAGCACCAGCTGGAACCCTGCCCCCAAGGACGACCCCATGGACTGCGGCGGCCACGGCAGCCACGTCGCCGGCATCATCGCCGCACAGCCTAACCAGTACAACTTTACCGGCGTGGCGCCCGACGTCACTCTCGGCGCCTTCAAGGTCTTTGGCTGCAAGGGCGGCACCGGCACCGATATCCTGATCTCGGCCTTCAACCGGGCTTACCAGGCAGGCTCCGACCTCATCACTGCCTCCATCGGCGGTCCTGCGGGCTGGGTCGACGAGCCCTGGGCACTGGCTGTCTCGCGTATCGTTGAGCGCGGTGTTCCCTGCACCATCTCTGCCGGTAACTCCGGTACCTACGGCCTTTTGTACCCCAGCAGCGGGTCGTCGGCAAAGGGCGCCGTGTCCATCGCCTCGTACGACAACACCGACACCCCCGCGCTCGCCAACATCAACTACTACTCGGTCGATGGCGGCGACAAGCAGGAAATTCTCACCACCGGCTCCGACCTGGACGCCTGGGACGGCGTGACGCTCGACGTCTGGGCTGGCAGCTACGACACCAACAAGACCGACGACGGCTGCAGCGCGCTGCCCGCTGACACACCCGACCTGAGCAACAAGATTGTTCTCATCCACCGCGGCACCTGCTCCTTTGTCGACAAGGTCAACAATGCGGCGGCCAAGGGCGCCAAGTACATCATGATCTACAACAACAAGCCCGACCCGTTGAGCATGCTCGTCGACGGCGCCAAGGCCCTGGCTGTTGGCCTCATGGGACAGGACGATGGCATCAAGTTGATCAACCTGCTCAAGGCCGGCAAGGAGGTGACGCTGTCCATGAACAGCAATGCCAAGACGGCCAAGGTGCTCTCGTACAAGCAGAACACGATCACTGGCGGTGCGCTCAGCTCCTACACCAGCTGGGGTCCCTCGTGGGAGCTCTACGTCAAGCCCGATGTTGGTGCGCCCGGTGGTAACATCCTGTCGACCTACCCCACGGCCAAGGGTTCCTGGGCCGTCATGTCGGGCACTTCGATGGCGGCGCCCTTCATTGCCGGCTCCGTTGCCCTGATCCTCGAGGTGCGTGGCAAGAAGCTTTCGCCCGCCACCATCACGAACCTCCTGTCGGCCAACGCCAAGCCGCAGCTGTTCAGCGACAACACCAAGTTCCTGTCGAAGCTCGCGCCTGTTCCGCAGCAAGGTGCTGGTATTATCCAGGTGTACGACTCTGCTTTCGCCACCACGCTGCTAGAGCCGTCGAGCCTGTCCTTCAACGACACGGCCAACTTTGTCAAGAAGCACACCATCAAGCTCAGCAACACGGGCGAGGAGTCGGTCAGCTACGACCTTGGCCAGGTGTCCGCCTTCACCATGTACTCGCTCGGCACGTCGGGCACCCAGGTCACGGCCTTCCCCAACGATGCTGTTGACGCGTACGCCAAGCTCAGCTTCAGCAAGGACAAGGTGACGATTGCGGCCGGCGGATCGGAGTCGGTGGACGTGACCGTGTCGCCGCCCGAGGGTGTCGATGTCAAGCGGCTGCCGATCTGGTCCGGCTACATCACCTTCAACGGCACGGACGGCACGTCGCTGTCGATGCCGTACCAGGGTGTGTCGGGCTCGATGCTGGACCACGCCGTGATTGACCGGGACGGCGCGAGCTGGATCGCGTGGAGCGACGACAAGGACCTCAAGCCGCTGCCTGTCAACATGACCTTTACGCTGCCCAAGCCGGGCCAGACCGGGTGGTCAACGCGCCTGCCCACCTTTGTCCTCAACATGTCCCTGGGCTCCAAGAACGTCACGGGCCACCTGGAGCCCATGACGACGTGCCCTCCCAACGGCACGTACGAGTACAAGGGCTTCAAGACGATCGGCTCGCCCGCCGACTTCCCGCTCCTCTACATCAGCCGACTTAACAGGTCGAATGCGTGGGACGGCCAGTTGGCGAGCGGCCAGTACGCGCCCGCGGGCAAGTACCGTCTGATTACGCGGGCGCTGCGTGTATTTGGCGACCCCAGCAACGAGAAGGACTGGGATACGTCGATTGGTAACCGCTTCGTCATCAAATACGAGTAGAAGTGGATGAGGTGGATGAGTTGTGGATGGTCATGTATTTATGAGAGGGCGGTGCCCGAATATATATATATATATATATAAAAAACTCTCTTTAGTTGTACATCAAGAGTTTACAAATCACGAAGCCAACTGTAAAAGTGCGTAAAATTGTGTCATGTCCAAAAGTAATTTACATGTGCCAACATAAACTGGGTATCCTTTCCCTCGGTATCCTTCCATCGGATATCGACTCACACTCGCACGCTCAAACACGTAGGCAGCCCGCCCCTCCTGAACCGTCAACTCCTCACATCGATGCCCTTGACGCCCATCGTCACGTCCGCCACCTCCCTCGCCAGGCTCCGCGCCGCAGCACCACCGCCCATCGCCCTCGGCAGCACCACCTCCCCCCTGACCTGCTCCGCCTCCTCCTCCGCCTCCTCCTCCTCCTCCTCCTCCAGCACCACCACCGGCTCGCCGCCCGGCAGCCGCACCTCGCGCGCGCCCAGCGTCCGCGCCACGTCCAGCAGCAGCACGTCCATCGGACATATATACGCGACGCGCTTCCGCGCGCTCCACGCGAGCACGTGGCCGCACAAGTCCCCATCGTCCTCGGCGCCGACGACCCACGCCCCGCTGTCCCCCGGTATGCCCATCGCCCGAGAGCCAGAGGAGGAGGGCTCGGTGCTGGCGACTTGGTGCGCGTGGCTGGGGGACACGCGGCCGTAGATGCGCACGCTGCACAGGGCGGGAAGGATGAGGCCTTGGCGGGAGCCGCTGGTGCGCGCGACGCACCGGACGTGCTTGCCGGGCAGCGCGGCGGACGGCGCGAGCACGGTCGGCTGTTGCGGCTGCCCGCACCCCGGCTGGTCGTCGGGGAGCCGGTCGGGGGCGAACTCGAAGAGCGCCCAGTCGACCTCGTGGACGAGGCCGCGGTGCGGGTCGCGGCGGCGGCGGATGCCGCTGGACGCGTAGACGGCGCCGAGGCGGAAGGTGGCGAGGTGGTCCTCGTCCTCGGTCTCGGTGCACGGGTAGAAGCCCTCCTCGACGTCGTCGAGGGCGGGCTGTGTGACTACGTAGCCGTCGCCGCAGCCGGGCTCGACGCCGGGAATGTCGCCCGGCTCCGCTGCCTCTTCGTCGTCGTCGTCGTCGTCGTCGCTGTCGTCGTCGCCGTAGTCGCTTGTGATGTCCGTGTCAGAGTACGCTTCCGACTCCGTGTCGGATAGCTCGTAGCCATCGTCGTCATCATCGCCGTCGTCGGTGCTTTCGTCATATTGGGCCGCGTCGCGGTAGGCTGCGCTGCGCTGCGCCCCCTGGCCGCCGAGGTCGTCCCGGTCCGGGTCGTCTAGCATGTGGTGCACCGTCATGCCGTACGTCCTTCCGTCCACCACGACCAGCCCGCCGAAGCTGACCGGCGGCAGGTGTCGGTCACCGATCCACGCGCCGATGCTCGCACCGTTGCCCGGGCGCTCCTGGTACTGCGGGTTCACAGCCTCCACCAACTCTCCGTCGTCGTCGTGCGTAGAAGTAGCCATGGAGCGCCGGGCGGCGCGGGACCGGACCACATGCCCGCGACAAACCCGCAGCGCGAACCCCGTGGACCCGTCAAACAGACCGCCGACGCGCTTGTTGAGGATGGCGCGCACCTTGCCGACGGAGGAGCACACGACCAGCACCGTCGGCTCCGTCTGCTGCGGACTCAGCCCGATGGACTCGAGCGAGATCTCGACCGACTCCGGGTGCTTGCGGTAGAAGTGGCGCAGCGCCTGGTTGATCTGCGGCATGAGGATCGTGTTCCACTTCTCGACCGCCTCGGCGGGCAGCGGCACCTGGCTGTACAGCCTGAGCTTGTGCTCCTTGGCGGCGGGCTTTGCAGGCTGTGCTTCGCGCACGCCGTGAGTGGTCGCGTCTTCTGGTGCGAGGGCCTGCGGTTGTGAGGAAGGCTGGGCAATGTCGTGCTTGTGCTTGGCATCGCTCGACTGCCTCGCCTCTTCCTTCATGTCCGCATCCAGTCTCTTCTCCCAACCGCTGACGCCGTCCAGGATGCAGCACGTCTCGAGGAAGCGGCCTATGCGCATCTGCACCTGCACCAGCGCGGCCTCCCGATCCTCGCCGCCGGTTCCCATCGCCTCCCCGCAGGTGCGGACCGCCTTGGCGTACAGGCCGCCGCACTTAACCTCGAGCAAAGCCATGGCCGACGCAATTCCGGCGTCGTCCGACGGCAGCCTCTCGACGTTCATCCAGAGACCGACGGACAGGAGCAGCACGGAGAGCGCTTGCAGCTCCAGCACGCGCTCGTCGGCGACATGGAGCACAGACGACCTCTGCGACTCGCTCGTCTTGGGCTCGGAAAAGACGTCAAACGACGAGATCAGCGGCCGTCGCACGTCTACCGCCGCGTTCAGCGGCAGGACCCCCTCGGCCGCGGCCTCCTCGTCGCAAAACAGGACGTTGTCCGCGGCGAGCTTTCCGTGCGTGACACCGCGCGCGTGCATGTCGAAGACGGTGCCGGCGATGTTACGCGCGAGGCGGAACTTGGCCTCGAGGGGGGGTTCGCGCGCCGGGTCCTCAAGCAGCACGCGCAGCGAGCGCATGTCGTGCGTCGCGGCCCTCCTGTAGGCGTCCAGGACACGGGCGTCGAGCGGCGCGGGGAGGCGGTAGACGAGACCGAAGCGCGCGCGCTCCAGGTCCTCAAAGTACCCGAGCAGCAGCGGCAGGCCGGACCACCGCGACTGCGGCGGCGGGTGGGTGGAGAGGCCGGCGGAGAGCCGCTCGAAGCGCGCCATGGGCGGCGCGATGCCGGTGGCGGCGTAGATGGCGTCGAAGGGCGCGTACTCGAGCAGCAGCGGGCCCCAAGGCGCGAGGGTACGGCCGCGCGCCATGTCCGCGTAGGCCGTCTTGCTCATGAGCACGACGGCGGGCTGCGCGGAGGCGTCAGTGCCGGGGGGCAGCTGGGTCTGGGCGGGCGGGATCTCGGTGAGCTGCGCGGGGTCGATGACTTGCGGTGTATTTATGCGCGTCGGCTCAAACGAGCGGGAACTGGCGGCGGCGGCGGTGGCTGCCTTGTAGGAGCCGGAGCTGCCATCTTTGGAGGGTGTCCGCATCGCGGCGCCGCGTGCTCTTGATAGGTCATAGAGGGTGTCCACGGACGCTGTAAAGTCATTGACCAGGTCCTCGAAGCGAGCCCGATCCCACTGCACCATCTTGTCCTTCTTCTCCTTGTTGTCCGCGCCGCCGCTTCCGCTCAGCCAGAGCTGCTCGGCCTCGGCGAGGATGTCCTTGATGGTGGACATGATGCTGGCGACGACCTCTGCGAGGCCCGCGCGCGAGAGCGACTCGTCAATCTCGGCGGTCTGGGCGGCGGGGTCGGACCACTCGAGGCCCCAGCCGACGAGGCGGTCCTTTTGGATGCGGAGCTTGCGGTGCAGGCCGGCGGCGTCCGGGTCCTGCTGCTTCTCGCGCGGGACGGGCGCCTGGACGAAGTCGGAGGACTTCTTGGTGTCGTTGTAGAGGCGGGAGAGGCTGTTGCGGAAGGGCAGCTGGAAGCCGCCGGGGGGGAGTAGGGTCTCCATGTGTGTGTGGGTATGGGTGGTGATTCGAGGGGATCGGTAGTGTGTCTCGCAGGATTATCGTCGAAATATTTCGGGATGGATGTGTGTGTAGATGAATGTATATCGATGGTGTCGTGGATTTGCTGGTGTTTGCGACAAGGTCGTGGCCTGGCTAGGCAGATGTATTCTGTAGTCGCACAGCAGGCGGGCAGGGACTAACAGGCTTTGCTGGAAAGATGCTATCGTAGCGATGGTTACAGTCTAGTACTTGGCTAGGTGGCCTGCGAATTGCGTGCCATTCTTGGTCTCGGTCGTCTTGTCGGTCAGCGATGGGGTTCGATATCGCGCGAGCCCTTGGTGGTGGAAGAGACACGACGGCTCACAGTGATGCGTGTTGGGGGAAGGAGGATGGAGGATGAAGTAGGCGGCGAGAGCAAGTCAAGATGAGCAAGTCTAGACTTATTATTCTGTTGCCTGTTTTGGTGACGAGTTATTAGGTGGTAGTTGCCTTGCCTTGCTGACCCAATGCAGGCGGCTATGCATTCTCCCCGCAGTGAAGCTGCCGCGCGACGGCTTTTGGTTGGTCAGGAATTCTGTTGCCTGGATGCGTCCCACCCACCTTGACTACAGTGGGAGTGCAATTATGTATGTACCAAGTACACAGTGGGAATTCGCCATGATGACGATGAAAGTTTCTCCTGTCTCACATTTTTGACTTTTTCTCTTTCTCTCTATTTTCCCCCCCTTCCGAGATGAGTTGCCAGGAATCTTTTAGGCGCTTGGTTGTGGTCAACACCGTCTGGTGATGTTGGCTTGTATTGTAAATGACCCGCTACATGAAGTCGTCCTCCCAATCCGCGCTGCGGTTCTGATTACTCTGCATATCCATATTCTCCTCCGTAAACAAGTCATCATATGCATGGTCCTTCTGCCACTTCTTCTCCTTCCACTCCTGCGCCTGCCGCGCCTCTTCCTTTTTCTACCCATCCCACCCAAAGTCAGCCACATTCCACACCCCCCCACGTCGAGCGAAGCGAGGCAAAGAAAAAAAAAGACGTACTTGGAGTTGCAGGGCGGCGTTGGCCTTGCGACGCCGCTCCTTATCACGATCATCACGCTGCTGCTTCAGGTCCGGCTTCTGGACCTCGGTGCGCGTCTTGGTCAGCCTGTTGACCACGGGGTTCTGCCGCGCGGCGACGAGCACACGCCGGACGAGGCGCGGGTTGTGGAAGGAGACCTGGCCGACGTCCATGGAGCCGTCCTTTTTGAGGTTGGACCAGGGGGTGTAAATCACCGTGATGTTGTCCTTTTTGTTACCTTGGGGGGGTTGTGTCAGTGGGAGTTGCTTGGGGGAAGGGGGAGGGGGAGGGAGGGAACCTTCGATGGAGTTGGCCTTGGTGAGTTGGGCGAGGTCGGCGACGAGGTCCTCGGGGAGGGAGTCCCATGCTTGGTCCGGTTGCATCCGGAGGTAAACGTGTGCGCTGGACAGCTTGTCGACGTGAAACTGGAGTTTGTGTGAGCGCAGCAGTGGCGGGGGTTGGTGATGCCCTCATGGGCTGCGGGTAGGTGGTTCATACCCTGGAGACGGATCAGTAACTATCCAACTTCCCTCAAAGACGGGATAGGGGGATTGCGCACCAGACATCCTCGTCCCAGCCGAATTTAATAAGATCCTCGTCTTCACCGACAAAAGTCAGCCCGTCAACTTCCCGTCGGGTGTGGCATGTACAGTGGTCGGCATACTCTCAAACTTGTCCTTGCCGACGTAGATGAAGCCAGGCGGGTCCACCACGTTGGACGTGTAGTAGTACACCATGATGGAAGCGTTTTTCCGTCTCTCTCCCTACTCTACGCAGATCGAAGCCCCCGGCTATCGTCACGGCAGCAAGGCTGGATGGGCTCTGCTGCAAATCGGAACGTCGTGATTCGCAGGTTCTTTCGTGTTTTGCTGTGTGGAGAAAATGACGGCACACAGTGACTTCTTGCACGTGACGTTACCGCGATGATTTCTGACCATTGTCATTGCTCTGGATCATCATTTGGCGACCGATTCGCCTCTGCACTTCTTTTCTGGATCGTTGAGCTGAGTTTTTTTGTTCTTCTCTCGTTTATTCGCGATATTCTCGGAGCGCACGAGACACGAAATCTGAACCTATGCCTTTACAGAAAGGCGAGACATCGCGCAGGTATTCTATGTATGTAGCTCAGCAAGACAGGGTCCTGTGGTCGCCACTAGTACACCTGAGTGGCCTGATTTTCTTCTCCTGCCCTTGCTTGTTTTCTCTCATGTTTTTGAACGTTTGTTTTGTATCATCTTATATCTTTTAGCATTTCAAATCCCGCTATTTTTTTTTTCGCCGTCTTAAACAGTCAACTATTTGGTTGCCTCCCTCTTTAATTTGAACCACCCGTTTGGTTGCAGCCTTGCTGAACGAGGAAATCAATGGCTTTGAAACATTCATTCTATCATTTTTCCTCAGAATTTGTCACTACGTCTGTCACCCCCGACGGTATTCGGGGCCACCCTTTGCTGAGGAACGCTTGTAATCGTCATCAAATAGGCCGACATGACTACGAATACATCACCGTCTCACCAAACGACGAGAACCCCCTTCTCATGTATCCTCCAGTCAACTTTTCGAAATACTCTCTTATTCTCTGTAGATTGTGTGGATTGACTGTAAATGGTCTGTACGCCTAGCAACACGCCCGCGTGCCATCATGGCTAACCCAAATCCTGCATCCCTCACTGCAGTTAACCATCATTAATCATTGTCATTCCTGCCCGTGTCCAAAACATTGCCGAACCTTCTTCATCGGCCCTGTCCGAGTCCATAGCTCAACTGAGACCCTGCTCAGATCCGATGAACAACGGACGATCCTAGCCCCCCTGTTAGCTGCGCGTTACCACTCCATCGGTGCACGCAGGGCCCTGGTTTCACGTGTCGTCGGTCCCACGCTCTCCCTTGGAAACCTTTTTTTTTTCAGCTTCCGTGTGGTGGCGATAGTGGAACCCTGGCGGTTCTGACCAGCGACCGCATGTCCTCCGTTACGCTGGTCCAAGGTCGCATTGTCAGCTTGGGCATGTCTTTGCCACCCCGAGGGAGGAAAGGGAAACGTACAGGGTCGCTGACTTGCTAACGGTACCGGCTAATTAGTGACGGAAATCTGGCCCGCCTCGAGCTGGGTCTCCAACTTGGCACCGTCGGTGTCATTGACACTGTAGATGTCCAGGCGCATCTTGTACGTGCCAGCGGCGATAATGGACGAGTTGGAAAAGGTAAAGATCATGGTGGACCCGTCATTCTGCGAAACCCCCCCCGTCGTGGGTTCAGTGAGCAGGCCACCGGCCACGGCACTTGACCTCGGGTCCAGGAGCACGGCCATGGCGAAGAAGTTGGCGCCGGACTCTTGACCGCTGATCTGCACTTGGACATGTGGCGAGAGTACCTTGTTCTTCTCGGCCTGGCTGGGAGGATGCGTGAGGATGACAGCGGTAACCATTGTGGAGGAAGAGGCGTTGGAGTCTTGGTGTAAGTGGTGTAAGTGGTGTAAGTGGTGTTGGTGGTGATGATGACGGAGGTTTGTGTGGTCGAGATGGTGAGTAATCCTGGCAGACATGGTCGAGTGTAGTAGCGATATATATATGTGAGTCGAAGAGGAAGGCGGCAAGGGAAAGCAGGGACAGGAAGCAAGATTTGATTACTCTTGATGAAGAGATTTCGGGCGGATGATGTGGCCAGTGTCTATGCGCGCGCGTCTTGGGCCGTGTCCCTTGGAGTTTGTTTCGGTGCACGGCAGCTGCTGGGGTCTTAACGGCCGATGCTCGTATGAGTTGTTGTACAGTGTGCGATGTAATTGTCTCTGGTGTGGCTGCAGGTAGTTTGATCGGGTAGACGTCCAACTTATGTAGGGACCCGGTTTCAAAGGAGCTGGGGAGGCGACATAATTGCCGGGCGCTGATTTGACTTGAAGTATACGGATGATAAGAGACATGTCGTCGCTACGGGTAGATAGACGGCTTGGCATAGTAAGGACCAATAGCGGGAAGAGTGGTGCTAATGAGGTGAGAGTGGGACACGAGCATACGACCCGAGGTGAGGTGAGGCGAGGCGTGAGGAGCAGAGGCATAACAAGAGAGCTGAAGGCTGAATGGTTGTCTGAGAAGACATGGGGCCAAGGCTGGATTGGCATTGACTCGTGAAGAGGGGTGGATGGGTGACGACAACGATTCAGAGGGGTGGTGGGTGGGCAGATGCGGAGGGAGGTATAAGAATAGGCAGAAACAAGATGCAGGAAAGCACCAATGGGGGGTGTCAAGATGAAGATTAAAAAAGAGGATAAAAGATAAAACAAATCATGACAAAAATACAGACTAGGGGAAGCGACCCGGTGACATGGTAGCAAGGCGCGCGGCAGATCGACTGAGAGGCCCTTGGCGATGCATGGTGCATCGAGGTTCGCAGGAGCAGGAAAGACATGCATGCGGAGTACATAGCAGAGAGACATGTGTAAATGTCTGATGCCTGTCTGGCAATGAGGAGGCTTGGAGGGCCGACGATGGTCGGTCGGTGGACAGGGCGGCTAGTAGACAGGATGGGCAGGATGGGCAGGGTGGGCAGGGCCTGCATCATCTTGACATTGCCGGGGACCGAGGGAAGAGAAAAGGCGTGATTTGCCAATGAGGTGAGCTGGCGCTGGGTCCGATGCGAGTCTGATGAGTCTGACGAGTCTGACGAGTCTGACGAGTCTGAGTGCGAGTCTTAGTGTGCGGGTTGGACAGGTGGCCAGGGGTACATGTCCATTCGCAAAGTGAGACAGCGGCACCGACAGTCAGGCTCGACTGGAATTTGGAGGAGACAACAAAGGGATCGGAGGGTAAGTCCGCATGTCTCGTCGTTGGGTTACTGAATCAAATGTCTGATTGGTCATGATGATGGCATCACGGTGCGAATGGTGGCTGCGAATTTGCGTGGGAAAAAGGGCTTGGCCTGAGGAGAGGGCGACAGCTGGGCGGGCATGCCTGCAAAGTATGCGTACCATAAAAGTCCGAGTGCTGGTGAAGCGTAGGCATCTCAGGCAACTACGTTTGACGGGCAAGTTGAAACATGTCAGCTTCCCATGGTCCTTTGTGTGCTGAGCTAGGAGGAGGCCAGGACACGGGTAGTTTGCGACTAGTTTGTTGGGGATGGAGTGAGCGAGAGCAAGCCGCGCGGGAAGCTAGAGCGAGGGAGGAGGATTCAGGGGGGCCCGGCAGTGACGAGACTTGGCATTTCTTGGTCGGATGTCATGGTCAGAGTTGCATCTGGAGTGGTCTGTAGTGGTAGTCGAATGATGATGATGATTGTACGACTGCGAGGGCGCGGCCGGGAAGGCGAGGCGGCGGACCAGTGTCTCGCGGTGTTTGTGACTGTGATGAGCGAGACGTCGGGGGCGTGGCGGAGGAGGAAGAGGAGGAGAGAGAAATGTAGAAGGGAGGAAGGGTGGGGGACAGGCGGCAGCGGCAGCGGTCAAGAGGGAATGTCGTGCATGGCGTCGGCTGTCGTTGTGCGAGGTAGATAGATAGATGGAAATGGAAGTGGATGGTGACGGGAAGATGGTGTTTGTGTTTGTGCAAGGTGAGCTGTCACGGCGCGCCAACGAATTACTCTGCACTGCTTTCTAGGTACTGTAGTTACCTGGTAACTGGTACTAACTGGGTACTTTGGCGGGTGCGGGTTGAGATGAGATGAGATGAGTGCGAGGTTGGTGCGAGGCTCGTGCGAGGCTGGTGCGAGGCTGGTGTGAGGCTTGTGTGAGGCTTGTGTGAGGCGTGGGGGCCCTCTGCATCTTTCGGCGATGCCGCGGCTGGCAAACAGACAGACAGACAGTGGTATGTGATGAACGAGATGTGATAAATGGTTGTATTTTGTCGACATGGAAATTTGCCGTCGAGTAAATCTACTTTATTCCTGTAGTACGATTTATTTCTTATCGGGTAGACTGGCCGACGGAGGCGTGCGGGTAGTGCTGCCGCGACGGATTAAATACGGTTGGCATAACGTAAATGGAGGGCCGCTGACGTGACGGGCTGAATGGTGAACGGTCAACAGCTGACAAGCCAGGATGAGGGAGGCATGATACAGTTGGAATAAAAAAAGAAAAAAAAAATTATTAAAATGCCAAGTTTCTAAAAGAAAAAAGAGAGAAAGAGAAAAAAAAACGCGAGATTTATATAACCAGCCAGACGCCTACATGCGTACTTCTCTCTCCTCTGCGGGAGCCGACTTAAGCCGCCGTGGGGCAGAGAACTGGGAACTGGCAGCTTTGGCGGGGATTTGCCCCTTGCTGGCAGTCCCATCCCATTGCAATGTTCTTGTTGTTCAGTGAGCGATTGTCCCTTTTAATTGATTCGATTGGCTGGAAATAAAAATTAGCACCTTTAACGAGCTGTTATGCTTGGCAGGGTATAGGCAGCCAAAGGTACCCCGGCCCAGCCTGGCTGATGACATGCTGAAATACCCCGCCATGAGCCTCGTTGCCCCTCCTCCTCCTCCTCTTCTGCTTCTGCTTCGTCCAATCCTTCCTCTCACCACGGCCCCTCTCCGACTTGTCCGACACGGCCACATTCTTCATCGGCCATCCCCTCCGACCACGCCGTTCCTACGCCCCGCAGCTGCCGCTCATAAGATTCTTCCTCCCGCGCCATCCCATCGCCGCACTCTTGCCCACGCATCATCCCCAACACACCTCTCACCACGCCATCAGCTCCCTCACACTCCGTCCTCGTCCTCCGCCATGGCGCTCCCCGACTTTGAATCCGTCCTCAAGGGCAAGTACCCCGCCAAGGCCCACGCCAAGCGCGTCGTCCAAATCCTCCGCGAAAAGGGCGCCGTTGCCGATGGCTTCATCTACCTCGAGGCCCGTCACACCCAGATGCAGGAAGACAACGACGGGCCCGTGCCTTTCCGGTGCGTCACCATCTTAATCCTAATCTTCATCTTCATTTTCACTCCTGGACACTCTCATGATCCTTGAATGACTCCTGCTGACTCCCATACGCTTACTTAACCCCCGTCCAGCCAACGCCGCTTCTTCTACTACCTCACCGGCTGCAACCTCCCCGACTGCTTCGTCGTCTACGACATCCAGGCCGACAAAACCACCCTCTTCATCCCGCCCATTGACCCCGAGGACGTCATCTGGTCTGGCCTTCCCACCACCATCGACGACGCCCTGAAGCTGTATGATGTTGACGACGTCAAGCCCAACACGGAGCTCCCTGCTACCCTCGCCGCGCTCGCCGCCGCCAGTCCCAAGGCCACCGTCTACGCCATCGACGGCCAGGTCTCCCCCCACATTTCCCTCGACGCCTTCGTCTCCAAGGACCTCGCCGCCGTCAAGCCCGCCATCGAGCTCGCCCGCGTCACCAAGGATGCGTACGAGGTCGCCCTGATCCGCCGCGCCAACTACGTCTCCGGCCTCGGCCACGTCGCCGCCATGAAGCGCGCCAAGTCAGCCAAGACGGAGCAGGAGCTCGAGGCCTCCTTCCTGGAGCGCTGCTACTCGTACAACTCCAAGGAGATGTCCTACCACCCCATCTTCGCCAGCGGCCGCGCCGCCGCCACGCTGCACTACATCGACAACACGTGCAACCTCGAGGGCAAGCAAAACGTGCTCGTCGACGCCGGCGCCGAGGCCGACAACTACTGCGCCGACATCACGCGAACCTTCCCCATCAGCGGCAAGTTCACCAAGGAGTCGCGGGCCATCTACGACATTGTGCTCAAGATGAAGAACGAGACGAGCGCGCGGCTCAAGGGCGGCGTCAACTACGACGAGCTGCACGTCCTGGCGCACACCATTGCCATCGACGGCCTGCTGGAGCTGGGCATCCTCCAGGGTGATCGTGATGAGATCCTGGCGGCGCGCACGTCGGCGGCCTTCTTCCCGCACGGCCTCGGCCACCACCTCGGCATGGACTGCCACGACACGTGCGGCGGGCAGAACCGGCAGGACCCGGACAAGCTCTTCCCCAACCTGCGTCTGCGCGGCATCGTCCCGACCAACTCTGTCGTCACGATCGAGCCTGGTGTACGTGCTTGACCAGTTTCACCACGGAGATTTACGGCTAACAAATGTGTGTCTAGGTGTACTTTTGCGAGTTCATCATCAAGCCCTACCTCAAGGACCCTTTCCACAGCAAGTTCATTAACGAAGAGATCCTCAACAAATACTGGGATGTTGGTGGTGTTCGGTACGTTAAAAAAGAAGAAGATGATTCACAAAAATTGGGCTGGATTATGCTGACTGGTGTAGGATCGAGGATGACATTCTCGTCACCGAGACGGGCCACGAGAACCTGACTAACCTGCCTACCACGGCCGCCGAGATTGAGGCCATTGTCGCCAGCGCATGAGCAAGAGCGAGAGCAAGGGAATGAAGTATTACATGAATACAAAGCATGACTAAATTGGAAATATGTGTGTTTTATAGCCATAACAAGTTTCCCGTAAAACAGAATGTGCAGATGCAAAAAATAAAAGTATAATAGAACAAAAACAAAAACAAAATAAAAACAAAAACAAGATTATCCCACCCTGCTTCACCAGCGACTAAGAACTCCCCCCCGTGCTCTTTTTTGCGGTAGCAATGTCTTGCCAGTCGTTTTCTTTGTTGTGCAACTGTGCCCGACGGCCGGGAGCTCCCGTCCGCCGCCGTCCTCTGGTCCTGCGAAAGTCAACGCGGCGGCGCCATCGCCTGGTCGCACTTGCCACCCACGACCCGGGCGTACCGCTCCGTCTTTCACTTTGGCGCACAGCTCAAGCTCTTGTCTCTGGATGCGCGCCACTGCCACGCCGCCCGGCACCATCGACCTCGTCAAGGTGATGGCGGTGCCGCGCGCCGTCACGGCCCGCGCCAAGCTGCTCCTCGGCGCCACCAGCAACACCCTAATCTTCCTGGGCGTCGACGCCGCCGACTTCAAGGAGATCGCGCGGCTGGTGCTCGACCGGGTGGTGCCGCGGCTTGCTGCGGCCGCTGCAGGAGGACAGCCGCGTGCTGAAGCCGAGCCTGGTGCACGGGGACTGCTGGGACGGCAACACGGGGATGGACGCGCGGACCGGCGCGGCTTTTGCGTGTGACCCGAGCGCGTTCTACGGACATGCGGAGTATGATGTTGGTGACTGGCGGGCGCTGAGGCACGAGCTGAGCAGGGCCGAGTACATGGCGAGCTACAAGAAGCTCATGGAGCTGTCGGAACCGAGTAAGCTGTGTATGCTGTGGATGGGATGTCGGTAAGCTAACGTTGGATGTAGAGGAGGATTGGGAGGCGAGGAACCTCTTGTACTCTCTGGCGTTTTAACATTTGCAATGCGGCTTACGTGACTGGTTCGGAGCAGGGTCCAGTGTGAGTACTGTCTTGGTCTTCGTGTTTCGTGTTTGATACTTATGTTTTACAGTGTGTACAAGGACATGGTGACGCTGTGTGGGATGTTTGAAAGGACGAGCTGGCAGCGCTGGGAGTGGCCGGTGCTTGAGGGAATTCAATAAATCTTGACTAAATTTTGTGATGATTCTTATATACCGAAAGATTGCATGAACAAGTGTATCCGCGAATAATTTCTGCCTGTTTGATTTGGAGGTTGTGACTTTTGTGCATCCCGGGTAGCTCCTGCAAGGGGTCCCTGCTTTGCGGGGACCTCAGTGAAATGAGACCGACTCCCTTTTTTCCAACAACGCAGCTGTGACGAATACATCATCTCGCTCAGCAGGACACTTGATCTCAGCGCAGACAGAGATGGACTCTCGAAAGGGCGGGTTCATTATCCCGCGCCGGCCCGTCACCAGCGCCGCCGATCCACCGCCCCCGGCGTACTCGGACCTCTTCCCCGAGCCGCCGCCGCCGCCGCTTCCCCCTCGTCTGCGCATCAGCAAGTCCGTCGCGCAGCTACACGAGCTACCTGTCCAACCGCACCCCGACATGCCCTCCCCGTCGCCCCTCTCCCGGGAAAAGCCCGCGACGACCCTCCCTCCCGGGTTCGTCTTCCCCAACGACACCTCCTCGGCACTCGGCGACCCCCCGATCCGCAGGGCCAAGAGCTCCGTGGACCTGCGCCGACCACCAGATCCCCCGTCCTGGAAAAAGGCCCTCGACGAGGCGCGCCACCTGGCCTCCGGCCTCCTCACCAGCCCCGCCGAGTCCACCCGCCACCACAGCATCATCCGGCACTCCTCCCCGCTCGTCTGGTACCGCGGCCCTTCCACCGCCGTGCTCCTCACCGTGCTCTCCTCCCGGCCCCTCCCCGCCGCGCGCACCCTCCACCTGCAGCGCCGCGGCCTCTCCGGCAACCTCGGCATGAACCTCAAAGCCAGAGCGGGCGGCGGCAGCGGCGGCGCGGACTGGCTGGACGTGACGCCGGAGCGGCGCGCGACGCCCGCGGACCTCCCGGAGCTCGAGGAGCGCGGCGTGCAGCGCGATCTGCGGCGTTTCCTGACCACCGCGGGGACGAGGGGCGCCCACGTGCCGCGCGAGACGCTCGCGGTGCGCATCCCCGCGGCCGCGCAGGACGGGTACTTTCGGGTGGTGCTGTGCGGGGAGGGGGGCAAGGTGCTGGTGGGGAGTCCCGTGTTTCGGCTGGCGAGCACGGCGGCGGAGGGCGTGGGCGTGCTGCGCGGCGCGGGGCTGCGCACGGCGCCGCTCGAGGTCGGCGCGATGATGGCCTC